CCCTTTACCTAATGCATAATGTTTTCCTGTGTATGCAAAGTAGGTGTTCTGTGATGGTGTGTCCTATTGGTTAGTAATGGGCTTGGTGTGATTGGCTGTTTGTTTAGGCCCAGTTTGATTGGTTGCTGTTCCAAACCTTTGTGTGTTTACTAATGAGTTTACTTGTATACAAATACCTGGGTGTGTCTAATAAAGGTGAGTTCTTGTACTACCCTCAAGCTGTTTTTTTAAAAATGTGATCCCCCAGCCTCCCTACCTTTGGGAGTGCTGAGGGGATTCCCTGGGGTCCAGTGGTGTTGCTGGGCGGCCGGTCCTGCAGGCACGCGAGGGAGCACTGAGATCCTCCTGTTCAGCTCCCTCGCGCACCGCTTACTGATGCCGGAGCCGGAATATGACATCATATTCTGGCTCCGGCATCAGTGCGGTGCGCACGAGGGAGCAGGGCAGAGAGCACTCAGGGGAGAGTGGACCGGCCGCCCGGTGACGCCAGGGCCAGCATAGAGGGGCCCTGAGGTGGCCAGCTCCTGGGCCCCCCAGGAGAAGAGGCTGGCCACACTGGCGTACATACTGGGTCGCAGGGTGGCCGACCCCGGTATGCACGCCACTGCTTGTGAACCAACAGCAGGTGAGGTCAGGAACACCCTATTCCCCAGAAAGGGACAACCTCAGCAGCAGTGGCCTACTATGGAAAAGCAAGATTTTGGCAGTCCTGAAGGATATAGGTTTTGGGACATCCAAGCCAAGAGGCAGGAGAGACTGCCACCCTCGGAGGTACTAGCCCTTGGTCAAGATCTCGATTGACTAGAGTACCAGGAGTGGTACCTCAAGGCAGACTATCTAGAACTGTTTGAGCACAACCTCTCCCTGCCACTGGAGTATACGGAATCAGGAGACAGGACATCTGAAGCTGATGGGATCGTGGTCTCTGTACCTGGAGAGATGGGAGGCTAGGTGGCTGACCCAGACCTGCAACACCCCGGGTTAGAGATCTTAGCTACTGTACCACCTACCTCCCAAAAAGCTCCAGAAATAGGAGATCTAATAGACTGGCCCTGGAAAGACATCAAGTTGGCAGGTGTGGATGGGACCGAGGTCTCCACACCAGCCCCACAGGGATGCTGGGCAGCTTTCCCAGATCCCCAGCGGCAGAGTCCAGTCCAGGAAGAGGATGCAGGCGGCATCTCACCCCAATGGCAGTGTGAGAGCCTGGGAGAAGAGGGTGTCGTACCTCCCCAGTGGCAGTGGGAACACAAGGGAGAGGAGGTAGTTGACCCTTCCCTCCAGCGGCAGCTTTCCAACCGGGTTCCAGGTGTAGTGGATGGGACTGTGGTCTCCACTGACACCCTTCCAGCAGAAGAGGTGGCATCAGGGCATAGCGCAAGCTGGCCTCTGGCCTCTGCCCTCCCCTTTCCCTCTTCCTGAGCCTGACTGTGAACAGGCCAACCCAACTGAAGCACTGGCAACGGGGAAGAGCTCCGCTGGCCTCTGCCCACCAAGCACAGATAGCCCCACAACTGGGAGCAAGGGAGATCCGGCTAAAGTGCCAACAGCGGGGCAGAGTATTGCTAATCTATGCCCTCAGGTCATGGTGATGCTGGGCAGTCGAATGGCGGTCACCAGGGCTGTCAATCCACCATCAGCGGAAGTGCTGGCATCAGGGCAGAGTGCCGCTGGCCTCTGCCTTTCCTCATCAAAAGCTTGGGAGGGACTGTACAGACCCAGCATTGAGGGACTTTTGCCCAATACAGGTGGATGAACTGTGGTCACCACCTGTGGTCCCCAGAGATGCTGGACAGCTCGCCCTGATTCACTACACTTGACTAAAGTGAGCACTTGGCATTGGCAAAGTGTTTGGTATCAAGCCCTGGTTCCAAACTCTGCGGGGCCTTTTGTTGATTATGGGTGGGCAACTGGGGGCAACCAATGGGTCCCACTCTTGCAAAGCACAGAGGGCTTAAAGTGGATAAAGGGGTCCTCATGCAGGTGGGGGAAGAAAAAACTGTTGAATTGCTGGAGAGGATGGGAGGCGGGCCTCTTACCCACAGACTATGGGCCAGTTATCTGGGCAGCCTCTTACCCCAACAGACTATGTGGACAGCCCGGACAGCCTCTGGCGAACCCGTTGGGGTCATGCCGGGTCTGCTGGATTTGATTTGGGGGGAAATGTGTGACGGAACACTGGTACGCTGTCACTTGGGCATACTTGGGCATATAGGGCTCCTTTGTTTGGGTGGGCTCTGGTGGGAAGCGGCCATTTAGACCGCACAGACTTAGACCTAGCCACAACATGGAGAGACTAGATGGCGCCAAACCAGAGACTGCATGAACTCGTGGGTGTGGGTTGGGAAATTCCACTTTGTGACTCAGGGAGTCACCTATTGTTGACTGTGTGTTAATCCCTTTACCTAATGCATAATGTTTTCCTGTGTATGCAAAGTAGGTGTTCTGTGATGGTGTGTCCTATTGGTTATTAATGGGCTTAGTGTGATTGGCTGTTTGTTTAGGCCCAGTTTGATTGGTTGCTGTTCCAAACCTTTGTGTGTTTACTAATGAGTTTACTTATATACAAATACCTGGGTGTGTCTAATAAAGATGAGTTCCTGTTCTACCCTCAAGCTGTGTGTGTCTGCTGTTCTTGGGGGAGAGGTGTTAGCTGACTGGATCTTTGTGAACGGGCTGACATCTATGGTTTAGCGGCGGGAAGAAGCTGTTAGGACAGGTGTGCTCAGTGGGGCACAGGGGACCCGTCACACCGCTCAACTGGCTCTAGGCCAAACCTGGCTGAAACCTACCACTCCCCCCATAAACATGGTCCTTCAAAAGCTTGGGGAAAGTTATCTTATGTACAAACTGACGGCGCAAGTTCAGGGGTCCATGAAGACTTTCTCTAGGGTTTAGGAGCCATGGGAAGACTATAAGAATAACTAATAACCACACCCCCGACATTGCAACTAAGGCTACTCTTGCTCACTCTACCTCCCGCCAGCCCCCACACTTGCCTAACTTTAGATAATATTGATTCCGTCATAGCCATAACTTCTCTCTCTTCTTACCCGAAACCCACTCTTGGGTTTCTTAAAAAGTAAAATCCTCAGGACCTGAGAAAGGGCATCATACCTAACTCGCACTGAGCATTTGAGTCTCTATGTGAACCAGACAATCAAAAAGAGGCAAGAAGCGTAAATTACTAATACCGCGCTCTCTCGCATGTGCAACTATCATTTGGGCGTCATTGCCCTGAAAGGATGTAACTGTACTTGTATGTATACTGTCTGTACGCCCCTAACGGCTATACGATATATTACAATGGGGTAACATAACTCTGTCTGTAAACTGCAATGCATGTCATATTGTAACCCCAAAGTCTGTTGTCTATGAGAAAACTAAAGAATGAAAAAAAAAAGCAATATATAAATGTAACTGCTTATTTGGTTGCCCTCATTTGCATACCAGAATTATGTAAATGTACAGTTCTATTCAGTCAGCAAAGGGCACTGAAGAGTTCTCAACTAACAATGCATAGTCACAAGCCAGTTTTCTGATGTTTCTTAACAAGTAGGTCTCCTGAGCTATAATCACTGCAACCTGGTCCGGTGGAAGAGGTTCTCAGGGACCACACTTGGTCTGAAGTGCTCATGAATACCTAGTGAGAAAGCCAAACTGGTGGATGTACTCAGTTGGAGTACCGGAGCTCCTTCACACAAACTGAGTTCAAAGTGAATTTCAGATTTAACGTCAAAATATCTAAAGCAGGAAAATTCTCTAAGCCAGCCTAACATTTTAAATTTAATTTCAGGGATATTCACTAAAGTAAGAATTCAAAGTGAATTTCAAACCCACGTTCAAAATAGCCAAAGTAGAAAAATTCTCAAAGTCAGCTATGCTTTCAGTTTTCAATCTGCAATATAAATAGTGATATGAAGAAAGTGTTGCCAAATAGATGTAATTGCCTCTCTCAATTCCAAGTGCCAAGTATATATCAAAGAAAGTGTCTCTGTACAAAATCAAACAAAAGTGCAAATATGACACGTGTTAACACACAAGTGCAAACAAAAAGTGTGTTTACCTTGAGGATAAAACCACTCGCATAATGCATATATAGGGAAAAGGAGAGGAAAAAAAAGAAATACAAGAACACTTGTGGTGTATTTTTTAATACAACATAATAATAAAAACAAAAGGTGAGACGAGCACTTACTATCAGGACAATTCTGTGGCCCAACACACAGAATTAAGTCAAACACGGAAAAATAATAAACTAAGGAAAAACATATTACTGGGCCTTAGAATGACCGGAATCAGAGGCTTAACTAGAAACCACGGGACCCCGGTACGAAAATTGCCCTGCCCCCCCCCCCCAGACATCTACCCCCGCCACTCCTCCATACGTCTACCCTCCTCCATGTCGTCGTCCCCACACCCACGCAAACAGTTACACATGCAGAAACACACACAGATATACAGAGACACACACATACAGGCACACATATACATGCACACACACTACATACAAACACATGCTTGTAAACACAAACACACATACACATACACACAGACACACATACAAAATGTTTTAGTCAGGGTGGTTTTAGGACTGGACCCTGTGGTCCAGTGGTTCGGCCTGATGGGAGTTCCCACCCTGACTCCCTCTTCTGCTTCCTCCTGTGCGTCTCTCTGATTGCTGGGAGGAAGTGACCTCTTGACGTCCTCCCGTCATGTCATGGGGCCCGGTCGCGCTGTTAGAGCGCCACAGCATTGACTGGGCACCCTGGAAATACATTGCCATCGGGTGGCCCGAACAGCATGGGCCATCTGATGGGCCCCTTCAATGTGGCCCCGACGGTAAAACCGCGGGCCGGGGCCACGTTTCTTAGCCAGCGGGCACTGTGATCACATGGGTTCGCAGGGTGTCCAGGCCGACAGGTCTCTGTGAATGTGATGAGCATTTGCTTAAGGGTGCCGTTAAAATGTTCACAGAGGCCATTGGTTTGGGGATGATAGGGGGATAGGGGGAACTTAATATGGGTTTTACCCCACAGCTCTGCCAGAGCTGTTGGGTAACCACCGCTGTGAATTGGGTTCCCTGATCCGACACTATCTCCCTAGGGAATCCCACCCTAGTAAATACCCGAACCAGTGCTTCCGCTACCGTCTCTGCATGTATATTTGACAGAGTTATAGCTTCGGGGTAGCGGGTAGCGTAGTCCACCACAGTAAGAATGTATTTCTTACCGGATGGACTGGGTTTGCTGAGTGGCCCGACTAAATGCCACTCGGAAAAATGGTTCCTCAATGATGGGTAGGGGATGTAGTTTTGCCCTGGGGTGATCCCCTCTCTTCCCTACTTTTTGGCATACTTCGCAGGTCCTACAATAATCCTGCAAATCTCTAGTGACCCCCGGCCAGAAAAATGACTGGGTGAGTCGGTCTCTAGTCTTTTTAATGCCTAAGTGACCTGCTAGGGGAATATCGTGGCTAATCCGTAACAGTTCTACCCGATATTTACGTGGCACTATTAACTGTCTTTTTTCTACCTGCCCCACTCCTTTCCCTGTCCCCCTAGTCACTCGGTACAGTAAACCCTTTTCCCAGCTAAACCTTGCCTGATCTCCATCTCCCTGGGGTTGTTCAGCCTCCCTCCGATATCCCTTTAAGGTGGGATCTTCCCGCTGAGCTTGCTCAAAGTCTTGAGGGGTACCCCAGTAAGAAGTATGGTCAGGGTGAATCGTCAGGGGGTTATTGCTTACCTGGTCATGAGTTGTGGGGGAGGCCTCCATAGCTCTGGATTGCTGCCGGGTGGTAACAGGTAGTGCTCCTTCTGGACTGCAGGCTGCCAATTGGGACGTCAGGCATCCTAAATCATTCCCCAGCAACGCTTCCACGGGCAAATCTGGCATGATGCCCACTTCCACGGCCTTGGCCCCCGTACCCCAATCAATGTGTACCCGGGCTGTTGGTAGTTTATGAATTGCCCCTCCGGCCACCCTTACAGCAATGGTGCGTCCTGTGTGCTGGGTCGGGGTGACCCGGTGTGGCTGGACCAAGGTAATAGTAGCCCCGCTGTCTCTTAGTCCCCGAGCCTCTTGTCCATTGAGCTTTACTGACTGGCGGTGGTGCGCCCTGTTATCCCCAGCCGCTTGCACAGGGTTCACCTCATGTAAGGTGGCCCAATTCTCACTGTGGTTACTGGGTGTCTCTGGAGTCAGAGAGTTGTAATCATCTTGCACACAGTGTGCGGCTGCTTTGGTCGTGGTACTGGTGTCCGCCCCCAGCGGTCTGTAGTGCGTTGTGGGCAATTAGGTTTGATGTGCCCCACTTGCTTGCACCCATAACACATTGGAGCGGTCTTTTGGTACCCCGGGGTTGTGGTATTGCCCCCCGGTGGTGGTACCCTCTGTGGCATAGCTGGCGGACCAGATGCAGGCCGCTGGCCCTGGAACCCTCGGTTTCCATCCATCCGTCTGCTCTCATGAAATTCGTCTGCCAGCCTTGCTGCCTCCTCCACCGTTTTTGGCTTTCTGTCTCTGACCCAGTCTCTCACCTCTGCTGGTGTATAATCAAAAAATTGCTCCAGTAATATCAATTGCACAGCATCCTCTAGGGCAGTGTTTCCCAACCCAGTCCTCAAGGCACACCTACCATGTCCAGGATTTAGGGATTACCCAGTTGTGTCTAAGGTGTTGTTACAAAGAAGAAAAAAAACACCTTAGACACAACTGGGTAATCCCTAAATCCTGGACTGGTAGGTGTGCCTTGAGGACTGGGTTTGGAAACACTGCTCTAAGGTAGTTGCCTGATTCCCCTGCATCCAATTAATGGCAGCGCGTTGCATACGAAATGCCCACTCAGTATACGAATCCTTGCCTTGCCTCCTGAGGGCCCGAAATTTCCTTCTATGGGCTTCAGGAGTTACTGCGTACCACGCTAACAAAATCTCTTTTATTTTTTCGTAGTTTTGTATATCCCCATCTGGCACAGCTCTCAACGCTTAGGCTGCTCTACCTGATAATTTGCTGTTTAATACTGCAGCCCAGTTAGCTCTTTCCAAATCTTCTAGCACACATTGTCTCTCAAAATCTTGCAAGTAATTATCAATATCCATCTCACCTTCCATGAAGCTTTTAAATGCAGCGTAGTTGATTTTCCGCTGACGCCCCATTGTAGATCCAGATGGCGACAATATATCCACAGGAGGTGATCTGTCTCTGGCTTCTCGTGCTTCCCTGGCATTCTGGGTCTCTGTAGCTTGTGCCAAGATCTGTACCACGATCTTTGGTGCAGGGTTAGGTCCTACCAGGCTGAGTCTCCATCTCACATCCCTCTGGAACTCTGTTTCCTCTCCATTCGCCATTTGTTGTTCGCCAGTTTGATCGCTCTCCAGTAGTTTGGCTATTAACGTGACTTTCGGTTTGTTGCTTGCCACTATGCCTCGAGCTTCCAGCAGTTCCTTCAATGTAGTTCTTTTCAAGCGTTCGTATCTATGCGCCATTCACCACTTGTTTCGATTTGGTACGTCCGTTCGGGAGGAAATCTCGCCGCTTGCCACCAGTGTAAAGGATCCTTCTATTTGTGCAGCGATGATCCTTGCAGCTTCTCCTGAAATCCAGCTGAAACGAAGTGATTATAACTCCCAATCCCCCACACATGAGTCGAGACTTCATGAAGGGGTAAAACGATCTGATTTACTGTGGGCTACCCGCCCGGTATTTATGCAGGACACTCCCCTAGGGGACCAGATGGAAGACTGGGACAAAAGTAACACAGTAGCCAATCACAGTGGCTATAGCATAAGCACTCCCCTTTTACATAAATCACTCCCTCTTTTCCATCCTGGAGACAATTAACTTAAGGTAGCAAAGAGAGCCTTAATTATCTCCAGGTAGAAAGAAACATGGCTTTTCTTATTTTAGTAAAACAGCATAAAAATCTATAACTTTCATTTTACATAACATAAACTTTAAGTTCCACATATCCACAGATAGCTTGGATCTGAGTGCATATTCTAGGCGAATAGCGCTCATATCCCACGAACACAGTTCTCAGAAACGTCGACTGAAGTTTGGCTTTCGCCAGCCGTTCGTGTGTTTTATAGCCGACTACAAGTTCCATACTGTAGCTATCTGGGGTCGGTCACTTTCGCATACTTCCAGCGCATGAATGAAGCAGTATCTCCTTCATTCGTGTATTTTCCCCCCGTACGAACGAGGATTTGAAGAGGTAGCAGCGGTGTTCGACAAAATAAGTAGCCGACATTAGTTTCAGGGAATCCTCGCCATTTACCGCTGAGCGTTCGACAATCCAAAATGGCGATTGCCATGTGTTCGGTAAACGAACGCAGACCACCAGCTATTCCCCAATTAGTCTGTGGTTAACCGCAATAGTCTGGGTGGTTAATAGGCGCCACACGACCTCAGTGGGAGGTCGGGTGGTTCGGTAGTTCATTCGTTTTTCTCGCTGTTTGCACGAAATCACTCTGTAACCATCCAAATAACCGAACAGGCTGGTTCGCATGGTCTGTTTAATAAGGGATTTTGTTACAAACATCTATCCCATAACCTAGTGCTTTGGAGGTACATTGTTGAAGTCTTCATGATCTGGAGGGGAGATGAAGAGAAATTGGAAGAGCTTTTATCTAACAGTAATAAAAATGCGCATGGTTTTCAAATTTTCATCTAAAATAAATAGGAATACTATAGCTTTTTTAGATATTACTTTTTTTTAATAGAAGATTTTATTCTAAATTATTAAATAATAGTTTCAAAAACCAATTAGCCAGAATAAAACGCAATTGTTCTAAACAGGTTGATTTTAATAAAAAAGACGATTTTAGTGGATAAGTTTATTAAGAAAAAATATCCTAAAGATTTATTAGCGAGGCAAAAGAAAAGAAGAGAAAAGTTTAGGAAATTATTATCAATAAGCCTTAGTAACTAAATATAATAAAGGAGCACATTTAATGAAGAAAACTATGATAAAATATTGGCCTATATTATTACAGGGCCCTGTTTTAGACAAATGTCGGCAGTTAGGCAACATCTACCCTAAGATTTACGTCATTACAGCGTGGATACTGTCATTCTAGTATAATGTTGCATATTTACTATTCTAAATACAAGCTTATATTGTCTGACATGTCACAGCTTCAAAGGGTTTAGGTGCATGGGTAAGGGGACCCGCTTGCGTGGATGCTTAAGTGAGTAAGCGTAAGGCTTTAGCAATAGGTGTACCTCCGTGGACATAGTATACATATGTTTAACTATGTATAACCTCGGCCATCCAGGCAGTAAGCAGAGCTGTTCTAACAGTGAGTTAGTTAGGGATTGGCGGGATCGCTAACTGGTGGAACATATTGCATGTATAGGTAATACGATATGTGTCACAGTGCTAGCCGGGTTGTTTTGTTTTGACATATTAAAAGGGCCAAGCTTTGTGTCAAGGAGCATGTTCATAAAACTTGCAAGTTTGCATCATTGGTTTGGTTCATCGGAGCTTGTGTGCCACTGTCTATGTGTCTGGGCAGCGTCCGTGCACTGTTCAAATGCTAATAAATAATTTCCATGTATTCTGCATAGTATAACAAGTGGATAGACGCATCTCAACAAACCAGGAGCACACCTCTTTTATTTAAGTTTATTATAACATAGTGAAGTCCATTTCCATTGAGCGACCCATTTGTGATGCACAGTGAGAGCTCATGGTAAAATCCCCAGGGGACAGAAAAAGAAGACAATAGAAAAGAAAAAATATTTATGATGTTATGTTAGATATGTACAGGTGACTTATTGATAGGACAGCAGCAATGGGGGGTGGGGGGAATGTTTTCTACCAGCAGAGCATTTAACGGAAATATTCCATTGGTCTCCGTGGCGATAACTCCACTTTTAGAACTTTGTCCCAGAGAGCTCTATATGGGTGTTTTTCAACCACCACGCATTGGCACACTAGTGTGCCTTAAGCCACTTCAAGAATGCCACAGATTAACTTCAGGACAGTAATATGTTTAATGCATCCCCAGTGTTCCTATTTAGAAGGGGCAGTCCTTATTTTGTGCCCAAATCCCACTGTTCATTATTTCTAACCTAATCTCTAGGAGTGCCATAATGTCGGTGTGTCTGAGTGTATAACAGAGCTCCACAGCGATAATACTCCAAGTAATGTGTATTTAAACTGCAATAAATGTGTTTGGAAATCAGTATGTGTGAATAAGATACATTGTTCTACTAAATTACATTTCACTTTTATAAATTGTTATTAGTAAGTCACCTAAAATGTCTCAGTACAGACCCGCCCTGGCCACATCCCCACTCACATCCCTAAGATTAAAGTATCCCTCTTTGTCCATTTGAAATGTTGATTGGTATGCTCGTGCTTTTTAATAAGTGTAAACATTAAAAGTGGAAATTCCTATTTTTTAGTTAATACAAATTAAACGCTGTGTCTTTACTTTTTAATAAGTATCTTTCTTCAAGGAAATGCGACATTCATAAACGGCTGATAATAGTATTAAAAAGACACATTAGTCACCAAAACAACTTTAGCATGTGACTTGCACAGCCTTCCTAAAGACTTCCTGTAAAGAGTCACCTAGTGTTTGCACTTCCTTTATTGCAAGTTCTCTTTAATTTGGAATTTCTTATCCCCTGCTATGTTAATAGCTTGTTATACCCTGCAAGAGCTTCCGGTATGTAATTCAAGTTCAATTTATAGAGCAGGAGATAAAAACTTTTAAAGTAAATCACATCTGATTGAAAATTAAACCATTTTGTTTTCATGCAGGCTGTCAATCACAGCCAGGGGAGGTGTGGCTAACGTTGAATTAAAGGGACACTATAGTCACCTGAACAACTTCAGTTTAATGAGGTTGTTCAGGTGAGAACTATAGCTCCCTGCAGCCTTTCTCATGTAAACACTGTATTTCCTGAGAAAATACAGTGTTTACAATGAAAGCTAGGAACACCTCCAGTTGCAGTCACTCAGAGTGAACCAGAGGGACTTCTGAGTTGATGGAGGCATGATATGCCTCCATCCACTCAGATCTGCTGTGCACGAGCATGTGATTCAGTATCTCCTCCCACTGCATGCAGACACTGAACTTTCCTCAGAGATTTATTGATTCAATTCATCTCTATGAGGAGATGCTGATTGGCCAGGGCTGTGTTTGAATCACGCTGGCTCTGCCCCTGATCTGCCTCTTTGTCAGTCTCAGCCAATCCTATGGAGAAGCACTGTGATTGGATCAGGCTACCACTTCTGTTTTTCCTAAGTCTAACAGGATGCAGATTTACAGCTTCAGGCTTGAATACAGTAAGATTTTTACTATATTTATGGAGGCATGAGGGTCCCAGGGGGGCTAGATGTTCGTGTTAACACTATAGGGTCAGGAATACATGTAGTTGCACTGGTGACTATAGTGTCCCTTTAACTGAAACAAAAGTGATTTAACTCCTAAATGGCAGATAATTGAGCAGTGCTTTACAATGAAAGGGGAATTTACCAAATGAGACAATAAGATGTAACAGGAACAATAGGTAGTTGAGAACCTTGCTCAAACGATCTTACCGTCTAGAGGAGGTGGGGTGTAAAAACACAAGAGGAAGGGTATCTATACACCAAAATTGCTTCATTAAGCTAAAGTTGTTTTGATGACTGTAGTGTCGCAACAGAAGGGGGCACTATAGGAAGCCTTAGTGCCAGCACTATAGTTTCCCTTTAACACTGTTATAGTGCCCTGCTCATGGTTTTAGTGCCCTTAGGTAAAGAGAACCCATATAATGATGTGCTTGTGGTATACTGTCTGCGGACTGTTCCCTGGTGTCCTCAAAAAGTGGGACACAACCTGGGAACAAACCTTGCAAAAGACCCTGAAATCAGGACTGTCCCACGAAATTCAGGACAGTTGGGAGTCCTGTGATAACTCATACATTATAATGGTTGGAGGGACATCCCAGTTTAATTATTTATTTATTTTTATGGTGATGGGGAGGTGAGGGGTGTTGCAATGGTGACAATCTCCCTCTATTGCAGGGATGCTTGAATAGTTTTTCATCCCCCTTCCCGCCTACACCTGGGGCGAGGAGAGACTAGGAGGAAGTTCTAAGATAATAGGCTAAAATTCAAAAGCAATGCGGACAGATTTATTCAATCAAAAGAGAATTGTCTAAAATTCAAAGTGAATTTCAAATTCTAAGGCATATTCGCCAAACTGTTAGAATTCCTGTTTTCAGTTTGGATATTTTTTGCCTAAAATTTTAAATTCACTTTGAGTTTTCAACAATTCACTCTTACAGCGTTATTCACTGACGTGAGAATTGTCAGGAATTCGAAGTGCATTTAAAATTTAAAGGTAAAGTTGTTTAGCCTTGGTGAATGAGATTTACATGTTTTAGAACAATAGCCAAATTTGCATCCAAATCGCATTCAGTTGATAATCAAATTGCACTCTTTCAGCCAATTCAGCTATTTTACACTAAGTTTGCAATTCAGATGCAAATTTCCAGCTTAGCATTCACCCTTGTGGTGGACATGTGTCTGTGATGTGTCCACTAAACAATTGTAAATTAATTCACAAATAGCAAAGTTACTGCATCTTTTCCATTCTGGCAATTCTGGCTTCACACAAAGTTACCTATAATTCCATGCATTGTGATTGAACCCTCTCATAAAACGCAAGGCATCTTTTTATTGGGTGGGAGTTTGTTTTTATATTTTCTCACCAGCTAGAATTTTCAGAGGGAATCATAGAATATTCAACAACATTAAAACATTGGGGGAGGTGGGGGGTTAATGGGAAGCTTTATTATTTTGTATAATGAATTACATTCATATTCATATTTAGTTGATTTATTCAGTAAAGTTTGGATTGTCGGGAATTCAAAGTACATTTTAATTTTTTTTAGGAAAAAATAGCCAAAGTGGAAAACATTTTCAAAATCAGTGATGTTTTCAGTTTGTCTGTTTTTTTTGCCTAGAATTTGAAATTCACTTTAAGTTGCAGACAGTTCACACTTATTAGTGTACAGGCCTGTGCGAATTCGAATAACACGTGAGAAAGTCATGAAAATAATAAATTGGCAATGAGAACTAACACAAGGAGAATGAATGAACAGCCACATGCCCAACAGGAAGTAATCCAGAAAAAAATAGGTACAGTGAAGAAGGGGTGTTTTCTGCAGTATCAACTTTAAGACAGTAGGTAGCGCTGTTTAAAAAAAAACTTCCAGAAACCAAGGGCAACCAAGAGTCACAATAGAAAGTAATAGTCTAGAATGGCTTGCTGCTGGAAGGGTTTAGGAAGGCATGTAAATCAGCACTCAGTAATGTCCGTGTTTGTGTATTTTGTCTACAAAATTAATGTGGTTATTATTATTGGCATTCATATAGCGCCAACTTATACCGCAGCGCTTTACAAGATTATATATTAGCCACACAAGAAGGTTCATTCCTTAATTTTGGTTCAATTTTTTACAACCTCTACACACTACAGCCACTAATTATTTGTACCTTGATACTCTGGAGGTATCGATTTACTGAACCATACTTCTAATAGCTATTACAATCCTCTTACTACTTGAAGTGGCCTTTGAGACTACTACTACCCAGAATTTTAAAGGTGTATTATCACTCTGTTTATTCACAATGTCACATTTGTTTGGGTTTTTCACATAGAACCTACTGTTCTAGTTAGGCTCTTTATATTTTAATATCCTAATATTCAGCTTTAATAAAGGTTTATACCACCTATACAAATTTTTACTTTTAGCCCCTTAAGGACACATGACATGTCATGAATCCCTTTTATTCTTTTATTCCAGAAGTTTGGTCCTTAAGGGGTTAAAGGAACTTCTTTTGGTGGAGTGGGAGTCCGCACACTTTAAGTGGGCAGTCTTCCCATCCTGCTTTATTTTTCGTCTATACCAAAGGCTTATACCATATTTATGGATACTTAATTCGTTTAGAGGTTCTCGTTTATGGAGGAGGGATTCCCCACATATTTGTGAGGAGTTATCCTGACTCCATTTAGTAGTTTTTGTTTAATATTATATATTATATTACTTTAACAGTAACTCAGACAGTTACAGAAACAATAGGTTGATGAGGACCCTGCTCAAATAAGCTTACAGTCTATATGGTTGGACTGCAATTCCCATCACGGAAGTTGAAAACTAAGAGCGGTCTAGATGGATTTTAGGGTCATTTTGTCAAACATTTTCCCTCTGTCCCTGTACATTCAGCTCCCCTTGTTGCAGATATATGTCTGTTAGTCAACCTATTGTACAGCGCTACGGAATTTGTTGGCGCTTTATAAATAATACAATATACTAAAGCTTGGCCTGTGGTTATGTTTAACCCCTTAAGGGAATTAAAGGGATTCATGACATGTCACGTGTCCTTAAGGGGTTAAACTAATGTTTTTGTTGTTTTTTGTTGGAGACCAGACCAGCCATTATAAAACTACAACTCCCATGATGCTGTGTCAGTTTCTACATACAAGACTTTTATTTTCTGAATATTGAATCACGTTGGACCCTGGATTATTTATATGGTTATCCACAAAAAAAATAAAATATGTGAATTCGACGTTAATTTAACATTTTAGGCCAAAGTAGTCGATCCAGAGACACAGATAAGCGGACAATGTTTCCAGTTCGGCTAGTTTGGTCTGAAATTCTGCCTGTCTGTACAGACTAGCCCTGCGTGGCCCCGGTACTCCCGCTGTAACGTTGCCGGGCTCGGGCCGTGTACTCAGCGCTTTGTTTCACACGCTCTCCCCCTTTCCTGCGTCTCACGTCCATTGTTCTCTGGTGGCTGTATTCCCCAATGTTTCCCCACTCCCTCCGCCTTCCTCTCAGCCGGCGACCAATCACAGCCGACCTGCGCTCCAAGCCTCGTCTCCAACCTCTTTGACGGAAAAAAAAACCTCCAACGCCGACCAATCGTAGCCGACGTGGGCGTGGCCAGCGCGTCTCACTATAAATAACCGCGTCCCGAGGCGGCAGTCTTAACCAGCTCTCTTGCCGGGCGTATTGCTGCAGTTTCGCGCCGGGGGTTGTCTGCAGCCACGTGACCCGTAACAGCCAATCAGCGAGCGGCCGCTCCTCCCCCACCCCGCCCCCATCTCATTGCGCATTGAGGCCGTTACCTCGCCGCTCGGACTCCCACCGGTAAGTCGCCATCACCGACCTCTCCCGGCCCGGCCGATCCTCTCCGCCGCCCTCAGAGCTTCCCGTGTGAGGCCCGGAGCGGCGGCGGCCCCCCTCTCTCTCTCCGTGTCGCCATGGCCGCACTGCGGCGCCATTTTATCTGCTGCCGGTCGCCATTTTGTTTACCTTGTCCTCCGCTCTCCCCTTGTTCTCCGGGCTGGCTGGCGGGAGGGAGCTCGGGGGCCGCGCGTGGCCGGGTCGGATCTCTGTCTCCGTTCCCTCCACTCCTGGTCTACCCCCCCCCCCGCTGTACCGGCCCGCGGGCCACAACATGGCGCCGCTCGGGGTCTCCGTGTGAGCAGCGCACGGGCCGCTCGGGGGCCTTTGTCTATCGGAGCACGAGATCCACGGCAGCGTATTCACTAAACGGCGAGACTTTACACCCAGTGTGGGAGCCGCTACCATAACCACTGCACTGACACACAGTGTATCAAATAATATCCAGCCTTGATGGGGAAGTAATTAAATATCCCCAGCCTTGATGGGGTGTTAAAGCCATCCCCAGCCCTTGATAGGGAATTAAATATCCCCCAGCCTTGATAGGGGTGTTAAATATCCCCAGCCCTGATGGGGAATTATTAAATATCCCAGCCCTGATGGGGTGTGAAATATCCCCAGCCTTGATGGGGGTATTAAATATCCCAGCCCTGATGGGGGGTAGTAAATATCCCCGGCCTTGATGGGGTGTTAAATATCCCCAGTGATGAGGGGTGTTAAATATCCCCAGCCTTGATGGGGGTAGTAAATATCCCCAGCCTTGATGGGGAATTATTAAATATCCCAGCCTGATAGGGGAAATGTGGAAATATCCCAGCCTTGATAGGGAATTATTAAATATCCCCCCAGCCTTGATAGGGAATTATTAAATATCCCCCCAGCCCTGATAGGGAATTATTAAATATCCCCCCAGCCCTGATAGGGAATTATTAAATATCCCCCCAGCCTTGATAGGGAATTATTAAATATCCCCCCAGCCTTGATAGGGAATTATTAAATATCCCCCCAGCCCTGATAGGGAATTATTAAATATCCCCCCAGCCTTGATAGGGAATTATTAAATATCCCCCCAGCCTTGATAGGGAATTATTAAATATCCCCCCAGCCCTGATAGGAATTCACAAATATCCCCCAGCCCTGATATAGGGAATTATTAGTCCCCCAGCCTTGAGTATATAGGAATTACAAATATCCCCCCAGCCTCTGATAGGGAATTATTAAATATCCCCCAGCCCTGATATATAGGAATTATTAAATATCCCCCCAGCCTTGATAGGAAATTCTCATTAAATATCCTCAGCCCCTGATAGGGAAATATTAATACTTCAGCCCCGATAGGGAATTATTAAATATCCCCCAGCCCTGATATAGGGAAATATTAAATATCCTCTAGCTCCGATAGGGAAATACAAATAATCCCCCAGCCCTGATAGGGAAATATTAAATAATATCCCCCCAGCCCTGATAGGGAAATATTAAATAATATCCCCCCAGCCCTGATAGGGAAATATTAAATAATATCCCCCCAGCCCTGATAGGGAAATATTAAATAATATTCCCATCCCCCAGCCCTGATAGGGAAATATTAAATAATATTCCCATCCCCCAGCCCTGATAGGGAAATATGAAATAATATCCCCCCCCCCCAGCCCGATGGGGAAATGGATGGATATTAAATATCCCATCCTAAAGGGGGGGAACTATACATTAAATGCTTTTCAACTGCTAGATACTGGTATATTGCATATCAGTTTGACGGTCAGACTGCATTAAATATTTCCATATCTAAATAATGCATATCCCAGTTTTTTTTTTTTGTTAAACTGCTTTTAATCTTGCATTCAAAGTATGTTGAATATCTCCTCCTTATGGCAGCAAAAACTGATGCGTAGCAAGTGATTAGGTTATAGAGTGAGTGTATATCCTCTATTTAGCAGTCTCCCAATCACTAAGCAAAAAGGATGTTGGCAACCCCTCAACTTGCATTCACATTAAGATCAATTACTGTACTTTCTGTTTTCCTAAAGTGTTGGGATAGCTTCTGGTGTTACGTTCCCTCCATTTTCACAGCTTTCATTGATTCTCTATCTGCACTTTTAGCCAATGTCTGGTATAAACTAAACTAAAATCTAAGTGAAGTAAATGTCAAGTCTTGGGTTTGCCCACCCACTGCATGAAGTGGCTTAGACATCAAATTAATTTCAGTGCCCACGTGGTTTTTTTTTTCTCCCCAATCACTGTGTATTACTATGGACGTTGCTGATATGGAGGTTCATTGTGTGTAGTAGTAGTAAATGCTGTATACAGTAGACTTCTTAACATGTGGTTGAAGATTGTGTAATGAGTGAGGCAACTTTATCCACCGGTTCATTCAACTTGAATGAATGAATCTACTCACATTGTTAGATGTTACTGCATGTGTTGGATGAAATACTTCACTAGCATTACTCATTGTCTGTAAGAACTCTTCCAGTTTTACTTTATAGTTGGGTCTAGCATGTTCTTGTATATTACTTTGTGGTAACACTGTAGGCAACTCTTATCTACAATCTATATTATAAACAAATGTTTTTTTTTTTTTTTTTCACGCGGTTTCCTCTGTGGGAAGGTGCAAGCATGCCATTCTCTTGTAACTTATGTCCCCCTTTGCTAGAATGTTTGTATTTTGTTCTACAAAAACTTTGTAGAAATTACTTTTTTGAATTGCAAGTTCAGGTGAATGTAGATGTCATTTGTTGTAGTAGCCCTGAAAAGGTTACTGGTGCGGTACACTTGATCTGTGGTTCGCAAATTAGTCTTCAAAGCAGGATTTTTAAAACTTTTTTTTATTTTTTTTTATTTTGCGTGCTTATTGGATTAATTGGGGAAATGCCTAAATCTTACATTGTTGGTGTGCCTTGAGGAGTATATTGAGGTTTTCTGTTGGCTCTCTAAGATCCTAGGTTCTGGCACACTTTTTAAAACAAGGGTGTATATAATCTTAAATGAGTTTTACTAGTCCATACTTTCTATTTAAACAAATGTTTTCTTAACAGAATTGTGATGGATTAATATGTTAAAATAGAGGAAAATGTTGTGGTTTTTTTTAAAGGTTATAGTTCATGAGGAAGCTATTTATGCAATACAGTAAAGTGTCATAGAGCATGTGAATTTCAAGCATTACTCCAAGCACTATGACCACTTCAGTGATTTGTTCAGCATTTTAATATAGATAATTATATTGCTACCTCCTCTGGCATAAAGTACTCCAAGCTTGCTAAAGCCAATCATTCACTTGGGGTCATTCATTGGCCATCAGCTGACTTTCTTTCATTGAATGACTTGTGTTCTGTAGTGGTAATGGTACTTTAGGTCTTTCTTTAAAACCACGTAAAGGTGCAGTTTTAAAAGGCTTTAAAAGTCCATTTGGTGCTTACTGGAGCCATGCCTCCTCATAACGGTTAAATTAATTACTTGGAATTGTTAGACTAACTGAATACAAAGTTCATAGGTCTCCAGTCCATTTTATAGAGGGTAGGGGGGTGGAAGGTTTCTAAAAAGGCCACATTTAGCAGTCAAAGAATTCTCTGTAAGCAGCATAACCACCTCCATTCATGATTTTTTTTTTTTTAAACAAACCAAAAAACTGTAGATAATGCACAATCAACACCTTTTTTAGACAAAAAAGTTTATTAAAAAATTTTTGTCTAGCATGCTGGAGTGTTTTAGTGGTACCAGAGAGCGCCAAAACTAGAACCTGCTGCAGTTGTTAGGTTACCCAACAGCAATTTCACTTTCATTGAAGCTCTGTCGGCATATAACTGCAAAATAAATTAGCATCTTATCAAACTATAAACATCAAAGTAGATATATTTTCATTCACAAGGATATAATGAAATTGCTTGTGCGGTTTACTATGACTGTATGGAGTCTTGTGTTTGTGTGGATGAAGCGGTCTGTGACTTGGTCTGTTAGTACCAGGCTTAGTTAAGTTTTGGACTTCTGGTATCTGAAGAAAGTGGCAGTTCCTGTGCCTTTGCATTGATGGAAGAGATTGTCTTTTTTACAAAAATATTGTTGCTATATAGCGGGCCTCTTGTAGTTCAGATTTTAACAAGGGCTCAAGGTTGCTACATTATGTTTTGAAAAATAATTTTTAATCAGATTGAATGAGGAACAAATACTGGCTTTATTTTTGCAGCTATAATTAGTGGTTAATACATTATGTGCATTTCTGCCACCTTTCATTGTTGTAATTCTTTGTAACTTTGATCTGTTAAATTAACAAACTAAATAGTGTGACACTTGGTGTTAATGGGACACTCTTGGTTCCATAATTAAGGCGTGTCCTGAGTGTGGCTGGAGGTATGACGGAGCCAGACCTGTGCCTGAGGGTAGGCAACTAGAGTTGGCCAAAATAATCTGGTGTAGATATTGTGGCACCGTGCAGCTTCGTTAATGCTTTTGTATCTTTTGTCAAGATCATCTTTGTGGCCTATTTGGTAAAATCTGAGAAATTCAACTGTGCTACAGATACAGCTTGGCTGGTACCTGAATTTTTAGAATTGTGTTTTTAACTTGCTTTCATTTTGGAGTTTAGTGAATTAACTTTTCTGTAACGTTCTGCACAGTGCTTATTCTTTCAAGTATCTGTTACTGACCCTTAATTCTCAAGGTCCAACCCAGTCAGATTTAAAAACTTCCCAGGTTTGTTTGACTTGGGATAAAGGCAAGACATGGGTTGGGAACTACTGATTGAGATATATAGGTTTTTTTTGTTTTGTTTTTAAACATCCAGTAATGACCGTGGCTGAACTAGTAAAATCAATTTGACTTTTGCCAAGCTAGCTTACGGTATGTCTGTTTACAGAAATATTTTTTTGCCTCTTTTGCAGTTAAACTGTTTTCAGCGAGTGAAGAATTTCGCCCATAAGTTTCACAGACACTTCTTGCAACAATGGTAAGAATCTGTACATTAGATACCACAACAATTGCCACGTTTTATGAAAGGTGTTAAAATTTAGTTCTTACCCTCACAGCGTCCCATGCGCATCTTCGTGAATGATGACCGCCATGTGATGGCTAAGCACTCCATGGTGTATCCAACTCAAGAGGAACTTGAAGCTGTTCAGAACATGGTGTCCCACACAGAGAGGGCGCTCAAAGCTGTCTCTGACTGGATTGATCAACAGGAGAAGGTTCAAATTGGTGCAGAAGCTTTACTACCAGAAGCTGATGTGGTTATTGAGGATTCAACAGATGATACCAAGGACAGGTAAAGACTGATTGTCAAACATTACTTTTGTCTTGTGGAGGTTTTCTGTTGGCTCTCTAAGATCCTAGGTTCTGGCACACAATTTACCAACAATAACAATGTGTAGTTATGCAGAAAAACAGTTCTATTCTCTGTAGTCATCCTCCAATTTGCTGTAATGTAATTATTCCCTCTTTTTTTTTTTTTTTTTTTAAAGCACTGAAATTAAACCCGGTGAGAACCCAACCAGGACACTCCGTGGTGTGATGAGAGTTGGTCTTGTTGCCAAAGGACTTCTTCTCAAAGGGGACTTGGATTTGGAGCTTGTCCTGCTGTGTAAGGATAAACCCACAATCTCTCTTTTGAAGAAAGTGGCAGAAAACCTGGTTGTCCAGTTTGCGGTACGTTCATATCGAGCAGTGATGACTCTAAAATTTACTAACTGCAAAGTATGTGGGTTTTTGGTTTAGGAAAGTCCACTCTTCTATTTTATCTATTTTTGTTCTCCCACTTCTAAAGTGGGGAGAAGAAACTTAAATTTTCTCCCCTTGCCATACTTGTCTAATGAAGTGTTTACTTGTATTAGCTGAATAGATTTACACAAGTGAGTAGGGGTATGTTCTTTGTAGGCTTGTTACATCTACAACCCTGTATTTTTAATCCTGTTAATTTGTATCTGCTCATGTTTTCTTCTCAACAGTCTGTTTCTGAAGAGAAGTACGATGTGATCCAGAATGTCAGAGAAGCTAGTATAGTAATCCAAAACACAAAGGAACCTACCCTAACCCTCAACATCCGCCTCACCTCTCCACTTGTTCGAGAGGCAGTCGAGAAGATGAATTCTGGAGGTATGAAAGAAAGAAAATGGACTGCTAACTTAAACAAACACCTTTTTTATTCTTTTCTCACTCCTTGGAATTTGTCCTGGCATTCAGTTTACTTACCAGTGTCTTATGAAGGATCAGAACTGTAGTCTAGCCACACTTAATGCTATAATACCCACCTTTTGGGCCAGCTGTTGCTAATCTTATAACCCAGTGGGCCCTTTCTGTGGTTATTACAGTTGACTCTATACAGCACCAGAGGCATGTGGCTTCTGTTTAGAGGACTCACAGGCCCCTCTGGTGATTGTATACAGTTGTCAATGTGTTTTTGCATGTATTCTGTATCTTTTGTCGTGTGTGTTGCCGCAAAAATGACTGACACAACACTTTAATAGGGGTCAGCCAGTATTTTTGCATTCCTGGAGCCGATGCAGAGTTTTGGATAAAGTTAAGCTACATCTTTGGATGTTGGCACAAGTTTTCACTTCCAGTTTGGTTTCTAGCATTTCCCACAAATTGGCTAGCCTTATCTAAAACCCTGGTTGTCAGACATAATCTTGCTGCAGCACAAACGTCATCCCGAATTGTTATTGCTTCTATGAATATAATGCAATATGGTTCTGACCTCTGATCTCGTATCAAGACTTCTAGTTTGTCGATTTTTAGGGACGCTGGACCTTTGACCAACAGGACTCTCTCTGTCATGGGCTGTGGCCAGGGCAGTCGAGCTGGGAGGGAGGGTTTGCTTATTATACTGCAGCTAGCAGATGAGTGACCTTTTTTGTTTTCTTGCTAGACTCTGCTCTTTAAAGCCGCAGTCTGTCAGTTGTCTGATGCCAGGATATTGTCTGTCTGTAATCTGTGTACAAATTGTATTGCTGTAATACTCCTCACTAAATTGTCTTATAAACTGTTCAGTGACCAGAGGGTGCGTATTGATAAGGGCATCTCAAGGTAACTTGATATGGGCAGACTGCTGCTTTATTGCTTCTGATAGGTCAGTGTAGCTGTTATGTAGGACAGGGCATAATCACCTTATGTTTAGTTGGGTTTTTGTTTATTTCAATGGGTTTTCGTTGAGCATGGGAGTCTTGTTAGGGAATTCCCTCTATTCCCCCAACAGCATAGGTCAAGTAGTAAGAGTATTTAGCTATTGTCGGAGAGCCCCACTGCCCTCTGGAAGCTGCCTCATCCCCTGTCCACCTGACAGACACCCCCTTGGTCAAACCGTGCCTTGTCTTCTTATCCATGAATAGAAACGATATCAGTCAGCGATCCTCCGGACGTTCTGGACAGGCTCAAATGCCTTGCTGCATTGGCGTCACTCCGACACGCCAAGTGGTTCCAGGTTTGCATTTTATTATTTCTGTCTTAAAGTAGTAAACGCATTTAATTTTTATTTTACTTAAACTCTAAGTCACATGTTAAACTTTAAATCTTTACAAAAACACCAGAGCAGTAGCTGTGATGAGCTTGGCACCTGTCACACTACAGGCCGCTGGGTGAGCACACAGTGGAGGTACACCTTTCACAAGGGAACGTAATGCCTTGCGCATAGTTGCTGCTTTGTTTTAAGAGTAATTTTAATTTTTATTTCTACACTAATTGCTAACTTAACATACATAAGGCTTATCCTTAATCATAGATTACTTTTTACCCTTGACAAAGTAGCACTGCAAAACGTTTTTATTTTCTTTTCCTGCTTGTGTGAGTGTAGCTTTGAATGCTGACCTGTGTTCTCGTTGTCTCAGGCTAGGGCAAATGGACTTAAATCTTGTGTGGTAGTCATCCGTGTGCTCCGGGATCTTTGCACGCGTGTGCCTACTTGGGAGCCGCTTCGTGGATGGGTAAGCCTCTCCTATTTTTTTTTTTCCACAAAACTATGCACATATGTCAAATGAATCTGCACCAAAGCTACATCCTGTAGTTATCGTATCCACCTATTTTTCATATCCTGAGTCTCTAGATTTGTATAGACAGTATACCACTTATTTTCCCTTTCCCTTATTTTATTGTTGGGAATACAGGTGCACCAGTCTAGCTGTTTGGTTTTTTTTTTCTTTTTTTCTTGATTCACTGCTGTCCTTATAAACTCTGCTGCTGGTTGAGTAACTTGTGTGGGTTTTAACATTTTTTTTTTTCCTCTTAAGCCTCTAGAGCTTTTATGTGAAAAGGCCATTGGAACAGCAAACAGGCCAATGGGTGCAGGGGAGGCCCTAAGAAGAGTTCTTGAATGTCTTAGTTCTGGAATACTTATGCCAGGTCAGTTTGACTCTTTATTTTCTGTAGTATGTTTAACATTATTTTGGTTAGCACAACCCAAACTTTCACTCTACTTCCAGATGGCCCTGGACTCTATGACCCATGTGAAAAGGAAGCCACTGATGCTCTTGAGCATCTTGAAAGACAGCAACGGGAAGACATTACACAGAGTGCACAGGTGAATTGCTGACCTTTTTAACATTTTCTAATTTTCTTTTGAATGACACCAAGCGGCAGTCATTTATTGGAAATCTCCACTTAGAAGCTTAATGGCTTAGATTAATAGAATACATTTTGGAAGTGTATATTGTAATATTTTAATGCTTTGTTTAAGGCTTTATGAGCTCTTGCAGTAAACCTATAGGTTGGGATAATTCTTATTCCTTGTTTGATTGTTGCAGCATGCACTGAGACTGGCTGCATTTGGACAGTTGCACAAAGTTTTGGGAATGGACCCTCTGCCTTCAAAGTTGCCGAAGAAACCAAAAATTGAAAATCCAATTGACTACACTGGTAGGTCATGAAGTGGGAAGCTTAAATGTGTTCCCAGTATACACATACTGTTATCTAATTCTAGGTTTTTTCCTCCCCTCAGTCCAAATTCCTCCCAGTACAACATATGCAATGCCACCACTAAAGCGCCCAATTGAGGAGGACGGAGAAGACAAATCGCCAAGTAAGAAGAAAAAGAAGATTCAAAAGAAAGGTATTTAAGGATAGGAGAGACTCAGGCAGGGTACACTGTATAGTGAAACTCCTTGTACATAGCTGTAGTTTTTAAATAAAGCTATGATACTGGTTCATATACAAAGTGGTGTCCCTCTCTGAATAGTTCTCTTGCTTGCGCTTACAGTAATAGACATTGCAGCAGTGATGTCACAATAGCCCTACAATCTGCTGACTTTCATGCACCTGGAATGACTGCTCCTTATTTTGTAACCTCTTGGAGAACTTGTGTTTATACATATATTCCTTCTGTAGGAGGTTAATTTGTGTATGATTACATGACAGTTTAAGGTGCTGCAATTTATTGGTTTGCAGCATGTGTACTTTGTGGGTAGAAGGTGCTATTCAGTCCTCCTGTAAGTCTCTGAGAATAAAACTTGTAGATTGGAGTCATTACTTTTTTGTTGGTATTCAGCAGTTATTGCCCTTTAAAGAATTGATGTGATCTTTAAAACTTGATTTGGGAGCCTTGTGTTCATTTTATGCAGATGCTTTTGTACAGTTTTTGGTTAAAACTGATTTTCTTACAGATGAGAAGAGCGAGCCTCCCCAAGCAATGAATGCTCTCATGAGATTGAACCAGCTAAAACCAGGTCTCCAGTACAAACTTGTATCCCAGACAGGACCCGTACACGCACCTATATTTACAATGTCTGTAGAAGTAGATGAAAAAACATATGAAGCCTTTGGACCATCAAAGAAAACTGCTAAGCTTCATGTTGCTGTCAAGGTAACTATATAATTTCTCCCCACACTTCCATGTATCTACTCAAGACCAGAATGGTACTCTTCATGAGACTGTTCATCGTGCACTATATGATGTTTATTTTTAATGTAGGTATTACAAGACATGGGACTGCCAACCGGAATGGAAGAAAAGGAGGAACCTGCAGAGGAGGTAGAACAGAAGCCAGTAGTTGAAACTCCAGCACAGCAAACAGACTCTACACCATCTGAGTCAGCAGATGCCGAGGTATGTCATGCGTTCCTTATTTATTCCCCGATGTTTCCATCTATTGCTTCTTGTTGAAATCTTTAGTGTTTCACTATAGGAAACTGATTAAACGGAAGGCTGAGAATTGTTGGAAAATTTTGAAAGCAGGATAGACTAGTTCCTATTTCCTCTCATGTAAATCTGTATAGATTTTAGTATTCTACAGAACCCTTTGTCCCATGTTTCAGCAACTCTAGGCTTAAATCTGCTTTTTAGTCACTTGGATTAATCTTTTAACCCGTTCATGCTAGGGTTCAAAGCAGCAAGGTCCTATTCTAACAAAGCATGGAAAGAATCCAGTCATGGAGTTAAATGAGAAGAGGCGTGGCCTGAAATATGAACTGATCTCAGAAACTGGTGGCAGCCATGACAAGAGATTTGTGATGGAGGTAAGGTTTCTTTTGCATTTTACAGTACTACAACTTTAGGGACCCCCTGCTGGCAGAATCCACATCATCCTGCCAATCTTATTGGTTATTCACTAACCATGTAAATGAATACCATCTTCTAAATGCCGCATTTGGCTGCTCTCTTGCAAACCAGTATGTCAGTATAGCTACTTCTTAAAAGTTTTTTTATATGGCTTGTGATGGACTGCCTGGCACCCCGATTGGGTGCCTCTGCCAATCGATGCTTCCTAGTGTTCAGAGTACTCCAAGCACTCCACCAGACACAATAGCCACCATAAACCCTGCAGCCATTGTTACAGCTTGGTTGGGGTCTGGCTGCTCTCCACCCACCCTGGACCCTAGACCAGGATCCAGCTTCCAGTGGGTAGACCCCTCCCAATCCACAGGGTAAATCAGGCTGCTCTTACAAGAGCTAGTGATTATAAACCAAGGGAGTCTAGTGCTATAGCAATCCCCAGAGTAAATATTGCTGTCTCCTCCACACATGAGACAGGGCTCGGAGGGTGAAGAGGATTTTTTTTTTTTTTAATGGCAGCAACAACTGGCCTCGTATACAAATTCCCATGCAAAGTGTTTTCCATAACGCATTCCAGGGGCATTCCCCACTGGACCTGAGAGGGGACTGTGACAAAGTACACACTGTAATTACATTGGCTCTCAGGTTCAGAGTCCGGAACTGTACTAAACTGCCTCCAGGCACCGAAAACTGATATTTATTATAACCCAAAATTAGCCTAAAACACATGGAAACCCCACAAATATCATATCCCCTGATGGCTCTGATCTGGGGGACAAACACATCCAAGAATCACCCAGATTGGGTTGTGGTCGGGATTTCCATGGAAGTCATATAGACAGAGCCTTTAAAGTGCATTGAGCAAGGTATATTGCAGGCCCCTCAAAGAGCCAGTGGCTAGGTTCAGTTAGTCACATGGCTTACTTTTAAGGCCTAATCTATGTGACTGTATCTTTCTAGCCATGTACTGTTCAAAAATCGTCCTGAAATGTAACCTCATGTTCCAGGTTGAAGTTGACAGCCAAAAGTTCCAGGGTTCTGGTTCAAACAAGAAGGTTGCTAAGGCTTATGCTGCTCTTGCTGCACTAGAAAAACTTTTCCCAGACTACAATACATACACAGAAGCACCCAAAAAGAAGAGGCCACCCATGATGCCCAGGGGTGGGCCAAAGTTTCCAGGAAAGGTAAGGAACCAATAACATTACAGGGTAATATTTAAAGTACCAGTACACGTATGGTGACTTGTCTGTTTTTTTTTTTTTGTTTTTTTTTTTTTGAAGTGCCAAGTATACTAGATGCAATTTGGGTGCTTTTATTTTTGTATCCATGTAATTGGCTGTAACAACTTTCATTGACTCCTCTGCCTGGTATTTTCTTTGATTCTCAGTTATTTTAAAGGAGCATTGTGTATTGCTTAGAATACAAAGCTGGCAAGCGAAGGAATTCTAGTGGCAATGTGGTAGACTAAAGCCAGTCTTAACCCTTCTCTAAAACTGCAATGTTTTAACTTGACAAGGACACTTGAACCCAGACCAATGAAAGTATGTGGCCTGTGTGCCTAGTGTCCCTCTTACCTGGACACAATTGATCCTGTGAGTGAACACTACTGGTTGCCCTGTTACTAGCTCCTGAGATCTGTCCATTGTATTGCAGTTGTCAGTTGAGTTTCGCAATGGCTACTCATCTTGTGAAGCATGACAGACTGGGATTAACAGACATTTGCTAACAGATGCTGTACAAAAGGCAAGCTGACAGACTAGCCTTTTGAAAGTCTCTTCTAGAAAGCATACTGAAATTGGAGAAACTATTGGAATAGTACTAACTTTTTACATTGTTTCTTCTCCTGCAGCACAACCAGGGATTTGGGATGATGTACAATGAAGTGCCACCACCTCAGGCAATGCGTGGACGTGGTAGGGGTGGAATGAATAGAGGTAGAGGGCGTGGACGTGGTTTTGGAGGTTACATGAATTCAGGTAAAGCATTGGATTGTAGTTTTCACAACACTTGTGGATAAATTAGTTCTGCTGCTTTTGACACTTTGTGAACTAAATTTTTTTTTTTGTTTGGTCTGCTTTATTTAATCTGGTTTCTGTTTGACAGGTGGATACGGTGGTGGCTATGGTGGAAACTACAACTATCAGAATTCTGCTACAGCTGGATACAGTGAGTGATCACTTCAGAAACTTTCACCACCTGCAGATAATTGAGCACTTTTCTGTTGACCTAGTGCTTCTGTTAAAATCTAGCTTCTGTAAAAGTGCTACTGTCTAGCATAAATCTGACAGCTACCTTATAAAAGGGGCTTAGTTTAGGCCTCAAATTTAGTTTATATGAATGTAATTAAAGTTAATGCAGCCATTATAATTTTAGACATATCTTCCATCTGCCCCAGCCAACAATCTTCAGCTATGGAAAAGTGCAGTTATCACTTTTGCATACATACTTAATGCAGTAGAACAGGGATTGGGAGGAAGTAAACTATGCCAATATTTGACACATGGCTGCAAAAAGCAACCACATCGGAGGTGCCTGTGCTCCCTTTTAACATGTCCTAGTTCTTCTACAATATACACCCACCAATTAGACATGCTGTCAAAGTCCCTCACCTGTGTAAAATATTCAAACTTGTTCCCCCCCCCACTTTTTTCCAAACCTGAGGATCCCACTAATGGACAATGTAGACTGTTTTAGCCCTTGTATACATGGTATAGTTCTTTTACACAACTGTTAGTTCAGACTACCTGAGAAATTGTGTTAAGCAGTTTGTACATGCTGCCCTCACGTGGCTTTTGCTGGTTTTAGTGCTTGAATGTCAGTATGAACTGCATATCTTCCTGTCCACTTTCTCTACTATGGAGACAGTGTTTGCCTTCATTTTGGTAGCATTTGTGGTGTGTAACTGCATACAGTAGAGACTTTAATCTGTTCCTCACTTTCTGGTTAGAGTACTTGTTCCTCATGTAGCAAAGTTCCAGTTTGAAGCCTTGCGCACATCTGACACATGCATTGACTTGCTAAGCAGTCAGTGGAGTAATGAGTAGTTTGAGTATAGATCAAATCTGTGTAATAAACTGGAAAGCAACCACTGCATGTCAGATCTCCGCAACCTGTCCACTCTTGTCTCATGTCACTTGACCTCACAGGAGTAACTTATTTTAATTTTATTTTCATTGAGTGTTTACTTAGATGTTGGCATACCGCTTTTGTCTGAAAGCCTTGCTCTAGTGTCTTGATATCTTGAGACAGGATAAACATGCATTATGTATATACTTTTTTACATTTCTCTGCTTTGGTTTTACAAAGTGAGACAACATGCAACTCACATTTCCTGGTTTATACGCATCCCCCCTTTGTATCCAGCTGGAGCAGCATCAACACTTTTTTTTGGGGGGGTAGGGGGGGAGACGGGAGCAGAGAAATCTAAAACTTTGTACAAAAACTGTGGCACAATGGCCCTGTTTACAAAAGAATTCTAATTCTTATTTTCTCTCTGCTGTCTCTCCCCCTTTTTGTAGGTGACTTTTTCACAGACTGCTACGGTTATCATGATTTTGCATCTGCCTAGACCATCTGTAGCGTACTGTTCCCACTCACTCAAAACCCACAAGCTCTTTACTCCAGTCTGTCTTGAACTCCAAAAAAGATGAAAGTTCTCCTGATTCTATATTTTTAATTTGCTCATCACTGAATTTTTGGACTGCTCACTTCAAGCATTCAGACTGTAGACCACGGCAGTGTATAAAACGGGGCTGTTTGAACCTTCCCATGGGAGATTTTTTAATTTTGTGCAGAAATGAACTTTTTGTCTGCCGTTGAAGTGTAACTTGGCCAGTTTTTTGCTCTTCGGTTTTCTGTAAATTGAAGCTGCCATATGGTTTTTTTGTGTGACTGAGGAGAAAAAGGGTGTTTCTGGTCACTTTTAGAGTTTTTACGGTTTTAATCTTGCAACCATTGTTTTTGTTTTCTGTTTTGGGCGTGGTCATAATGTTTTAATAAATCTTGTAAAAATGACATTGTGGAAACTTTGTATAGATTATTTTGACAAATGCTTTTTTTTTTCACAATGGGCTTGCTTATAACAAATGTTCCCCCTAAGCTATGTACACCTTATTTATGATGCTTGCATGTGACAGAGTACCTCTATTCCATTGAACTGGCATTTATATTTTTAATCATTGGACCAGGTCTGTTGCTACATTTATATATCTATCAAAACTCCCTCTGATTGGTCTAAGGGGCATAGTCTAAAGATGTAGCAATTATTGACTTATCTTGTGAATGCCATGATCTCTGTTTAATTTTTGCAATGAATGATGGTATTTGCAACCGCTGGGTGGCTCCATATTACAGGAAGGCAGTAATGGATAGCCTTTTGGCATGAAACGGTTACGGGCTTTAAAAAAGTGAGATCGTAGAACTGCTGCCAACAATCCATCCATGCACTGCATTTCTGTACTATATTGCTGCAGGGTATACCAGTTTACTTTATGGACTGTAGGTATCAATTGGACCACTGCAAAAATTGTAAGCTAAATTCACATGTATTCTGCTCACAGCCTGCTGGATTTAGAGGGAACATGGTTTATAACCGTTAACTTTGCCCATATTTACCCCATTAGTATAGGGTTTTAGAATACCTTCACTGGCAAAATGGAGATTGATGTAAATGTGCCAGTCTGAGGATTTTCTGTTGAAGCCCTTAATGTAGGGACAGAGTTTCTCAATGTTGGTCCGCAGTCTAAACGTTGAGCCTCTTATTTTTAAAAGCATGGCTTGATGTCATATGGCTCACTGCAGCTGTTACGATGCAATGTTAGACTTTACAAGGATATTCTTAAGCACTGTAGCAACCTATAATCGCACAGGTTAGTGTAAGGTTTCATTTTGGTGCCTTTTTATTAATGTGGATAACTAGTTATCTGCAAAAATCACTAGCTATAGGCAAACACCCTTGATTTAGATGTTGCAGGAGAAACAGAATTCTTCAACTAAAATTACAGCTTTCTGCGTGGCGCAGCTGTAAATGTCACTATGTGCAAGACTCAAATCTTCAGTATATCAAAAAGATCTCCTTTATGAAATACTGATCAAATCTACATTTAGATTTCAATGCAGTCATAAGGTTGACAAAACATTGTCATCAAACTTTTGTCCAATGTCAATGACTGTCACAAGTGATGGCTGTCCGATTCAGCCATCGATATGTGGAGGCTCGCATAGACCTCAGTGTTGTACTTACGACTCCTGGCAACTGTAGCTCCAGGATCTGAAGAGTACCTGCAAGACTAAAATGGTTGCCCCAAGGGACAGATTGAGGTAAGAAACTTGTCCTGTGCACCCAACGAACACTGGATCCACATCTGATCTGTCATTTTTGGTGGTCTTTGTGCGATGAGAAGACCTGTCAAGTGACAAATCTGCTTTAATGTGAGCAAGTCTATTATAGTAAAGTTCACTAAACAGAGCTGTCTGGCAGTTCCCTTTTTGGTTTTTGAATTGGCTCAACTAAAAAAACATGAGGGTATCTGAATTTGTTTCCAAAATGGAGTTTGCAGATCTACAGCTATAGCAGGAATGGATACTGTTGGTCCCCCAGCTTGGGATTCAGATATGCCCCACTGTCATCCATCTCTTCTCTGCTTGCACCAGCATAATTCTTTATTGGGTATCAAACCAGACTTGCCTAAACAGGCAGTTATGCCTGCTGAGTGCTCCTGACAAATACTCTTTTGGCTTACAGGCCCACTCTATTTTTAAGCTTTCAGTAACTGGTACAGACTTTCTGCATGCGCCACAAAACAGACCACTATTTGGTTTGACGGTCACAAATGCTCCAAATACTTTAATACACAAGTGGTGTTCAGCACATAATTCAACTTATGGTGGCAAACTTCAGATGCAAATTCTCTAGTGTAAGCCTTCTCACAACAGTGGAAATGGGAATGACTGAAATGGCACTGAAGACCATCCCAATAAAACTGTAAAATTTGGAATCTCAAAAGTGGATATTTGTGGGAGACCATTACCTCCTGCAGTGCCCCTTTTTGAAGTCACAGCTGTTCAAAAACGTTATTGACAAAATATTTGAAAGTTTACTACTCTGCAGATAAAGGTTTGTTTTGCTTTTCAAATTCTAAAGTATCTTTAGCATTTGAGTTTTTTTTCACATAATTGAACTAGTAAGAAGGTTTTTTTTGTTTTTTTGGTCTTGTTATAATTGTTATAACCATCATATTCTAAAACTGCAGGAGTGGTTCTGGAACAGCTTTGATTTAAAAGTTGCCTTTCTCACAAGCCATTTTATGACTTGTACATACTTTTCAGTGGTTAAATTTTTTTACTTTGCGCTTTAATGGTTCTGCAATGCTTCATAACCTACCTTTCCTGATATATATATATTATGCATGGTTCTCTCGAGTTATAAGTGATACTTCCCCATATTTAAAATTCTGAGCGGTTTCCTGTTAGAAGGCAGAAACAGAATACACATTCTTAGATGAATTCCTAAAACAGGCCCACTGAGGTGAAATTGAAACGAGGAATGCTCACATGTTTAACTTTCACAACATTCTCAAGCTAAAGTGTACACAAATATTAGCACTTTAATTTTTTTCCTGTGGTGGTCCAGTAACTTTGCACACTGAACCAACTTTGCACACTGCTACAATACTGGTACTAGATTTCTATAGCTTCATAGCTTTGTAGCATAGCCTTCAACACTGCATCTGCCTCTTCTGTTTCTAGGCCAGTTCTACAGTAATGGAGGTGGTTCCGGCAACCAAGGTGGGGGTGCTGGATCTGGTGGCTACAGTAACTACTACCAGGGAGAAAGCTACACACCACCCACACCACCTAAACCTTTTGTGAGCAAGAAGCCCCCACCTCAACAGCCTCCCCAACAGTCTGCACCTTCTCAACCGCCACCACACGTAGCTGCACAGCCTAAGCAGGCCTACAACCAAGGTTACCAGTCTCACCAAACGCAGCCACAGCAGAGTTACAACCAAGGCCAGTATGGAAACTATGGCCAAACTCAGAAGCCAAAAGGTGGCTACAATCAGACTTCTCAGTCTGGTGGTGGAGGAGGTGGCTCTTACACTTATCCAAACTCCTATACAGGAGGTGCAGCTTCTACAGGTGAGCTATAAAAACCTGGTCTTGTCAGTGTTTGTGGTCTTGTTTAAATTTTCTGTTTCCTCCACCTTTCAAATGCTAAATCTTACTTTCTTATCCCTAGGTTATGGTGAAGGCACTGGTGGCCGTGGCGGCAGCTCATACACTGCACAGAGCTCTGGTGGTTACAATGCAGGTACACATTCCGGCTATGGTAGCACCAGCAATACCTCCTCTTACCAAGGTAATACTGTGTTTGTTGTCTGTGGGAGGATGGACAGTTTGAGATGACCTTTACTGTGCTAGAGCCTCTAAACCAGGGGTCCTCAAACTCCGGCCCACCAGATGTTGCTGACTACAACTGCCATGATTCTTTGGCTATCTATGTAATTCAAAGAATCATGGGAGTTGTAGTTCAGCAAAATCTGGGGGGCCGGAGTTTGAGGACCCCTGCTCTAAACTCAGGCTTCCCCAAACTCCGGCCCTCAAGATGTTGCTGACTACAACTGCCATGATTCTTTGGCTATCTATGTAATTCAAAGAATCATGGGAGTTCAGCAACACCTGGAGGGCCGGAGTTTGGGGAAGCCTGCAACTTAAATGCTGTCTTACATGTGTAAAACAGATGTGTTGGAAATGTGGCTCTTCCACTTTTGATAGCATTTTGTTCTGTATGTTTTGGCCTTATGCTGAACACTCTAATGGCAAATTGCAATAATCTAAACTTTTAATACAATAACTTGAGGTAGTGTTACAATTAAGTCAGACTTTTTAATTCGACTTTTATCTTCCAGGCTACACACAGTCAAATTACAACCAAGGCCCTGGACAGAACTACAGTGGTCCACCAAGCAACTTTCAGCCTCCCCAGGGTGCGACTGGAGGTGGCTATGGCAGAAACACAGATCATAATATGAGCTACCAATATAGATAAACTCTCTATTCCCAAATGCCACTACCCGCTTCCTTTTTGTCCAATCTCCCTTCAGTGAACATCTAGCTTTTGTTACCATTCTTCTGGATTTATGGCATCTACGGGAAACTAAGGGAGGTTATCCCTCTTCCCCTTGTTGCAGTGCTATTGTGATTACTCGCTCCTTCATGGCAATCTCTCTGTAATTCCACTGATTTTTTTTTTTTTTTTAAATCGGTTCTTCTACCGTTGTATCTAACACCCCAGATCGCACCAGAAGGCCTCTTGTGCGTATACTGTAAGTTTGAATTGTGTTTATTTTTTTAAATTTCTTTGGTTCCTACAGCCCTGTCTTTAAGTTTGTGGCAGGTGAGTTAATTGGGGGCTGCAGCAAGCAAATCCACTCTAGCCACAATCCCTTATTCCTTCTGTCGGGTTTAGGCCTACCTTTGTTCCCTCTCCTTGCAACTTTCCAGTCCTGGTGTTTAATATGGCAGTGAAGTGACTTTTTTGTTTTTCTTTAAAGTGTATTATGAACACTTCCTTGCAGACCAAAATTAATGTTCAGGTGATTCCATAAAAGTCTGAGCATTCTAAAGTTTGTGACCGGTATCTGCTACTGGAAGTGTTCTGTGAAATGACAGTACAGCATCTGTAACTGAGCTACAATCTGCATTGTGGGATATTGTGCATGTTGGCACATCCTTCAATTTTCTGGCTTATTTTAATTTGTGTAAATTTTGTATTCCTTCCTGTTATCTAGATTGTTTCATGCCTTCACTGCCAAATTAAATCATGGTAAAGTTGTCTGAGCTGTTTAGTCTATTTGGGAAGCAGTAAGCCTGGTCAGAGTTAAGTTGTTGCTCCTCCCATTTCCTGTTTGTTAAAATAATTCTGTGAAGTGACTTAACAAGCTTTATGTATTTTAATGCGTTTAGTGTTTTTTGAATTTTTTTTTCCCTTTTGGAACTTTTTTTCCTGTTTTATAAGTGAAGACTTTATTTTAAAAATTGGGATGCGTCAAAAGGGTTCTTTTTGTATGTCTCGTATCATTCAGGCAGTATCTGGAGTGAGCCGAAACATAGGCGAAATAAAATTTAAACTGAACTTCACCTGTCTGCATTGAGTGTAATCTATTTTTTTTTTTTTTGAGTGAAATATCTGAACTATGTGCAAATAGACTATTAAAGTAAGATTTTAGACACCGTTTACTCCCCTAAAATAAAACTTATGCAAATTTGATGTGTTGGGTTCATCAAACCTGTTATATAGGCTCAAAGGAGATTTGCATCTTCAATTTTCTCACATCTTTTTGCTCTTGATCCAAAATATTCTGTCATGATTCACTTTTATTTTAGGAGTTATGTCTTTAAAGGGTTAAAGTATTCATAAAGTTGCTGTTTATATATCCATACAGACTATATTGAAAGGGCTCTTGTGTTCTCAGTTTGCAAAATGTAACTATTTAAAAGGTTATGACTTCTGATTTTTAGCTCACAACTTGTCTTTCCAAACAGAGGATATGGGACTTTGTCAGCACACAGGCTAAGTGCTGTAGTGTTTATGGTGTCAGAACGACTTGATGAGACCCAGTCTCTTCCTATGCATATCTTTTATGCTTTAGTGACTCTTGTATGTTAGCAATATAAATTGATTCCAGTTTGGGATGTCATTATTCCCATTTATAAAGTGCCAACAGATTCCGTAGCGTTTTACAATATGAGGGGGATTTAACTATATAAATAGGACAATTACAAGAAAACTTACAGGAACGATAGGTTAGAGGACCCTGCTCAAACAAGCTTACATTCATTGGTTGAGTGTTGGCTGACTCTAAGCCAATGAACTGTGGATGGAAATTTTACTACCAATGCTGAAGTGGATCTTCTGTAGTAGCAATGTGTACAGTAGCTGACATCCTGAGTGCCTAACACATTCATAAAAAGTGACAACTTTAATGGTTTAATTGGAATAGTGCACACACAACAAATCCACCGGAGTATATTGAAAGAACCATTTCCAGGACTTAACATCTTTACCTGTAAAGATTTTAAGTCTTAAACTGTTCTTTGCATTATACTCTGGATTTGTTGTATCTGCACTATTCCTATTGAGCTGGCACAGCAAGGAGTGCTTCCCTTATTTCTTTATGCATCTACGTGAGTGCAGTGTAAATACTTTATATTTTGATTTGGATCTCAAGAATTTAAAATGCCAGCACTGGGGATTTGAATAAGCATGGGAGTCTTCAAAGTAAGTGGATACTTCTGTATAAATTTATAAAGTTACATCTTTCTGATTAAGACAGGGGCAGCGGCTTAGAAAATTGAAGTTCAAGTGACAATGCTGACAAAAGGGAGGGAAACGCATGCCATGGATTAATCCAGGAAAAAGCACTGCCGCTCTGCATGGGGACGTTTAATTTTCCTCGGATGCATTGATTAAATGCATCTCTATGAGGAGGTGCTGATTGACCAAAATGGTGTTTGACCCCACCCCTTCACTATTTTATCCAATGCTTTCCCCTGGGGAAAGCATTGGATTGGCTAAAAACTGGCAATTCTGATGTCACTGCGGTGCAGGCAGTCTTCCAAGGCGCTGGAAATTAGTTTTTTTGTTTTTTTTAATGTTTTTAAGGGGGGGCAAGCCACCTAAATGGTGGGTGTTGCACTATAGGGTCAGGAATATGTTTGTTTCTGACCTTATAGTGTTCCTTTAACACCTTAAGGACCAAACTTCTGGAATAAAATGGCATGTGTCCTTAAGGGGTTAAAGACACTAGGCACCCACACAACTTAATTTTATTAGTCTGATTGCAGTGTCCCTATCTCATTACACCTGCAATGTAAAACCGAGAAACTGCCATGTTAACTTTGCAGGGTTAAGTCTGCCACTACTAGAGGCGCTTCCTGGCTTGTCAGAGTTTAACACTGCTGTTAGGATGTCAATGTAATTTCACATGGTGCTGCTGTGGAACCTTGGGTCCTGGCATGGCATTTTGACACTTAGTACCTACCTAGGGATTGTTGCAGACCACATAGAAGCCACTGCCATCAGTGAACACTATTGCCATAAAAGGGTTTTCAGCAGGATATTGCAAAAAGTGTTCAGTAATAGTTTTTAGAGCATGACAAAGTTCAAGGTGCTTCCTTGGCTTCTAATTCCTGACCTCTCAATCTGGGCATCTGTGGGATGTGCTAGAACCATAAATCTGGCCCATGGAGGCTCGACCTCACACAAAATTTAAAGCAGCACTGTCATGGCCGATTCCCAATTTTTAAAAAAAAGTTTTTTTATTTTTTTAACCCCCTCCCACCTCTATCTCTAATTGACCCCTTAGTCACACCCAAAGCCCCCTATATTACCTATTTTTTTTAAATCTTTATTTTCTGCCACGATCTATATTCAGAGCCCAGCCATCTTGGTGTGGGTAGATGAAGTCCCTGTGGGACATGTCATCTGCCCACACTAGATAAACTGAGATTCCCGCACATGCCCAGTGAAACACTTGGACGTGAACGGGAATTTCATCCATTCATCAAAATGACGAATAGAAATGTCAGACGAACAAACACTGAATATCAGTGTTTGTTCGTTCAGTTTATTACAAGGAGGGCGCTACCTGCGCACAGCTCCCTCCTTGTAATATGTAAAGATAGAAGTGGCGGGGAGCACTTCATAAGCCCCCCAGGTCTCCCCTCATCTATGGGGGTCAATATGCCCCCCCATAAGGAAGATTAAAATCTCCCCAATGGCCCTACTCGCTATACTAAGTAGGGGCATGTCCACTAAACAGTGAGCAGCCTGTGGCTCCTCACTGTTTAGAAGGATTTATTTTTTAAATAAGGATTGGGGACCTACTGTCCTCCCTCCTCCACCCCTGAGCGGTGGGTGCGAGCTTTAAAAAAAACAATAAGGGGGACGACCTACTGTCCCTCCTCCTCCTGAGTGGTGGGTGGGGGCCTTAAAAAAAACATTAAGGGGGACCTACCGCTCTAAAAAACAAAGGGGAACATACTGTCCTCCCACCCCTGAGCGGTGGGTGTCCTAAAAAAACAATAGGGTAGGTCCCCACCCTGAGTGGCGGGTTCATAAATAAAAATTCAACCCCCCCCAACCCAAATAAAACTATCCCCTACCTACCCCCCTCACCCTAAAAATAGTGGGGGGAATAAAATAACGTGTAAACGAAAATAAAACTTACCATTTGACTTTTTTTTTTCTAAAATCTTCATATATATATATGTATATATATGTATATGTATATGTGTGTGTGTGTGTGTGTGTTAGCACCAAAAAAGGCCAAATAAAAAGCCTTCATACCAGTTGAACTTAAAATAAAATAGAAAACCTGAGCACAAAAAAAAACCCCGATGTTAAAAAAAAAAAAAAACGAATCCATCTTCACCCATGGAGTGCTCCGCAGGGGCGGGGAAGGCTTATAAAGCAATCAGAGTGCTCTTTGTCATTTTACACAGCGTGGGAAAGTTCTTTGGAATTTTCCCACACTGTGTAAAATGACACAAAGCAACTCTGGGTGGCTTGAAATCCATCCAATCACAGTGCGTTGTCATTTTACACAGCGTGGTTAAATTCCAAAGAGCACTCTGGTTGCGCCCGGGTTTTCGATTTTATTTTAAGTTCGACTGGTATGAGTTCTGCAGAGCTCAGTCTTCGTGCCCTCCATGGTTGAAGATGGATTAATGTTTTTTTGGGCCACCGCTCGGGGGGGGGGGAGGAGGACGGCAATAGGTTCCTCCACTTATTGTTTTTTTGTTTTTTTAGGGCTACCACTCGGGTGGGGGCTGGGGGGAGGACAGTAGGTCCCCCCCATTGTGATTTAGGGCCCCACCCATGGGAGGACAATAGGTGGTTAGTAGGGGGTGCGGTTAGTAGGGTTTTTTTTTTTATAACAGTGAGCAGCCACAGGAAGAAAAGAACAGAGCCTGAGAGAGGGGGGAAGAGATTGAGGAAAGGTAAGTTCGGCATGACAGTGCTGCTTTAAAGGATCTGCTGCGGCGTCTTGATGCCAGATATAGGATATGTTCAGAGGTTTTCTACAGTCTATGCCTCGACTCATCAGTACTGTTTTGGCAGCACAAAGGCGATCTACACGATAATAGGCAGGTGGTTTTAATGTTGTGGCTGACCAGTGTAGGTGTACACATTACTAGTAGGTCATCCTCAAATCCTGACTGCTGTAAAATATTGCCATATCCATTTCCTTAGTCTTGTAACGAGGACTCAATATATTACAGAAGACCGGACTTGAGGGTGGGAGAAAGGGGAGCATGATCCACAACTACTGGAATTTCGAGGGGGCAAATGGGCTGTTGACTCGAAGTTGAGAATGTATAATGTGGAGAGGAGCAAGCATGTAATAACTCTGAAATGCCTCCCAAATTAAAATACATATATCTACCTGAAGGTGAACTGATCCACATACCTTGTGAATTTGCTTGCTATTTTCTGTCTTAATGTGTTTTATACCCCACCTACTATAGACTGTAAGCTCATCTGAGCAGGGTCCTCTTCAACCTATTGTTTCTGTAAGTTTTCTTGTAATTGTCCTATTTATAGTTAAATCCCCCCCCCCTCATAATATTGTAAAGCGCTACGGAATCTGTTGGTGCTATATAAATGGCAATAATTCCAGCTTTACTTTCAGCTTGCCCAGTTTAGTTCAGTAAGTGTAATGATCAATTTTGACCACAAGATGGAGTTCACCACATGTGCATCAAAGACATGCTAGCTGGAACTGCACACTTGAATGTACATTTTTAAAAAAGGCATTCTTGTGCTTGCTTACTTTGCGGGATCTTCCAGCCTCACTGGTGATTGCTGTCGGGATTGTCATGTAGATTCCGCCCGGAGCCTAAAAGTCAGGCAAAGAAGAAATACAGAAACAAAGTTGTCCCTACTTTATGTTTGTAGATCCTTTTGACTGGGTTGGAATTTCAGAATCTTAATGAAATATACATTGATAATTAGATTTTCATGATCTTTATGAAAAACTAATTTTACCTGGGTGACCGTTCCGCTTTACGTAATGTGATGCTGTAGTTATGTGACTTAAGGGAGGTCACTAAAAAAACTAAATTCATTCGTAATTCACAAAAGTGAAAAATACTGTATCCTGGAAATGAGAAGTCGTCGTATTTATCTATATAGCGGTATAGACCTGTAGCTGGAAAAAATAAATATTTCCTGGCCATATTATGGCAGCACAAAAATGGGTAGCTCCTCTCCTATCCCTAATTAGACAGGAACCAATTAAAATAAAGGTACAAATACCCCCTCCTACCACCTCCTCCCTCACTCTTTTTGTTCATGTCTTATCCCTATAGGACCAAATTAGTCTTTTTTAGGACTATAATCACTTTTTCTTTTTGGCTTACCTGAGGGTCTTTACCTTCTGCCCCCAAGGGAAGGTTCAGTACCCGGCCCTGTGCAAAGGTGTCCACCTGAAGATACCCCCTTAGTGACCGGGGGTTTGCTTGCTGAATGCCAATAAACTCTTATTCCCTGCAGTGACCAAGAGGTAGCAGGAAGTGGCGAGAATAATATATATCCTGGAAACATCCTTAGCTTTCTCCATATTGACAGCCCACATTTATGTATAAACGATCTTGTTCATTACAAATCTTCAATTTGAAGAATTCCAAACATTATCAAGGTTACGGTAGGTTTTTTGCTTCCTTAAAGGTATATACATAATTTATAATTTTTTTCTGTCCTCTTTTACATTTAATACTGTAAATTCCCTTTTATTAGACTGTTCTTAAATATCAATATGGAGAAAGAAAAAAGATCAATTTCATCTGATTCAGACTCTTCTGGATATAAAAAGAGGTCACACTCTTAAGAGTTATAGGTTAGCCATATAATTTTGTTTCTCAATCTATATTACAGTTGTAATAAATAAAAACAAAAGAGAGCTAATACGAGTTATTTCCCTATCATGATAGTTCTACGGGAAGAAAACGGTGAGATCAGCTAAAGGAACATCACCAAAAAAGAATCATTGTGAAGCCTGTGATAAAAAACCGCTGGAAGGCAAACGATTATGTGCAGAATGTTTATCGGTAGCAGCCGGAACATCTGATCCATCCTCCGATATTATACAGTTTATAAAACAAGCGGTGACTCAAGGCATTAAAGAAGCAGGTACAAGAACCAAAAGACCCCGGTTATATGACCCTGCAGATTACCAACGAGACGATTCATCGGACGAATCCATGGATATGAAGTCATACCAAGGAAATTTATCTTTAGAGGAAGAAGAAAATCAGGTTCCCCCAGATTTTCCAGAGCCAGCTCAAGTAGATCATCTTATCTACAAAGTACGTAAATCTTAAAGAAGCAGTTACAGAACCATCAACTTCTAATCGCTATTTCTCAGACTTGAGAAGGAAAAGAGCAACCTTCCCGGTACATGATACCATCCAGGAATTAAGGACGAATGGTCCAATACTGATAAAAAGCTTTCAGCACAAGGCAGAATTTCTCGCCTCTATCCTTTTGAAAAATCTGATTCATGCCATTGGGATAACGCCCCTAAAGTGGATGCTGCAGTGGTTAGATTGGCAAAGCATATCACATTACCAGTTGACGATGCAGGCTCATTTAGTCACCCGATGGACAAAAAAAAATGGATTTACATCTTTCTAAAGCCTATGTAGTAGCTGGTATAGGCTTTCACCCTGCAATAGCCCTCACATCAGTATCCAGGGCTTTGAAAATATGGATTGATAACTTGGAAGAAGATATCAGAGATGGGAGAAGCAGATCTTCTCTTCTGGAGCGGTTAAGCGATATTAAGCTGGCCGTTGACTTTTCCTCTGAATCATCGGTGGATATGGTAAAAGCTCTGGCAAGGAACATGGCTTTCTTAGTATCGGCTAGAAGAGCGTTGTGGCTGAGATCTTGGTCCGCAGACTCATCTAAATCTAGTCTGTGTGCTCTTCCTTTTCATGGAGAGCTGTTTGGGAAAAATCTTGATGAGTGTATCAAAAGAGCTGCAGAAGGGAAAAGAGCTTTTCTTCCACAAGACCGGAAAACCCAGGGATCCTTTTGAGCTAGGAGATACTCTGAATACCCTTCCTTTCAAGACACCAGATCATATAAACCCGGAAGAGAATATGGAAGATCCCTTCCATGGAGAGGAGGACATTCTTCCAGCAGAAGAGGTAGATCCAGGGGTTCTTCATTCCACAAGAAGCCTTTATGACTGAGTCGCTTCCCAATCTGGAGGAGTAGGTGCCAGTCTACTACTATTCCAAGAAATTTGGGAACATTCAACTCAAGACAGATGGGTGCTGGATATAATTCAAAGAGGTTATTCCATAGAGTTTTCCAGTACTCCTCCACCTCGCTCCTTTCGAAAGACAAACTGGCCAAGAGATATAGAGAAAAAAAACGCCCTAAAAGAATTTGTTTCATCCCTTCAAAAAGATGGTGTTATTGTTCAAGTTCCACGGGCTCAACAGACACATGGGTTGTACTTCCATATCTTTCTCACCAGAAAACCCACAGGGGGATGGAGGCCTATACAAGACCTAAGCAGGCTAAACAAGTTTTTAAACATAAGAAAATTCAAAATGGAATCCCTTCAATCCATTGTAAAAGCAGTATTCCCAGGACAGTGGCTTATGTCAATAGACCTGGCAGACGCATACTTCCATATCCCCATCGCACACCTGCATCAAAAATTTATAAGATTCGCAGTAGAAGGACACTTTCAGTTCCGTGCTCTCCCCTTTTGACTAAGCACAGCCCCGCGTACTTTCTCAAAGGTTCTGGTGGTTCTAATTGCGGAACTCAGGAAGAAAGGCATCGCAATATATCATTATCTAGACGATATTTTGATTTGGCAGAAAGCGGACATATACTAGAAAGTCACTGCCTCATATGTATGCAATTTCTTCAACAACACGGTTGGAAAATCAACATCTCCAAAAGCAATCTGAAGTCATCTCAGAGCATGATATACCTAGGAGCTTCATTCAACACGGCAAAAGGATTGGTACAGCTGTCCCAAGAAAGGGGTATGACAATCCAGAGAAAAGTCAGACGTGTTGGAATCCAGTTTTTCATCGGCAGAGAAAGCTATGAGCCTCCTGGGATCCATGTCCTCCACTATAGGACTAACAAGATGGGCCCAATGGAAGATGAGACCGTTCCAAACAAATTTCCTTTATCAATTCAAAAGGGGAAATCTGTCGCAACCTATCAAAATCCCTCCTCAAGTACAGAAATTCTCGAGGTGCTGGACACAAGAAAAGTTTCTCTTCAAAGGTTTTCCCCTAGGAAATATCCCTTGGACCATTATTACCACAGATGCCAGCCAATGGGGTTAGGGTGCTCACCTTCGGGACAACTATGTCCAAGGGAAGTGGCCTTTTTTGGCTTCCGGTACCCCTTCAAATCTCCTAGAGATTCTTGCAGTTTTCAAGGCTCTGAAACACTTCCGACCGCTTCTATTCCACAAGTGGGTCAAAATCAGATCAGACAATGCTACAGTGGTTGCATATATAAATCATCAAGGAGAGACGAGGAGTTGCAGAATGATGAAGGTAATGAAACCCCTGATGTCCTGGGCACAATTAAATTTGGAGGGCATCTCTGCAATACATCTCCCAGGAAAACAAAACTCAGTAGCCAACTTTCTCAGCAGGATAAGATTAGACCCAGGGGAATGGAGTCTATCAAATGACACATTCCTTCAGATTGCAGGGAAATGGGGTCATCCACAAATAGATCTGATGGCGACAAGCAACAACAGGAAGGTGAAGATTTTCTTCTCAAAAATTCCACATCCACAAGCCATGGGAAGAGACGCACTAACATGCAATTGGGAATTCGACCTGGCCTATGCATTGCCTCCAAATCCTCTCATCTTTCCGCTACTGAGGAGACTGAGACAACAGAAGGTATCATTAATCCTGATAGCCCCTTTTTGGCCACGCAGGCCTTGGTTTCCTCTCCTACTAAGTCTCTGCAAGAAAGACCTGTGGCGTCTTCCAGTTGTCCCATTCCTGCTACAACAGGGTGCAATCCCTCATCCAAACCCAGCATCCCTTCATCTGATGGCATGGTACTTGAAAGGGAAGGGTTGAAAAATAAGGGATTTTCTCAAGCAGTAATTGAGACACTCCTACAAGCAAGGAAGAAGTCCACTTCATCTACTTATTACAGAATCTGGGATGTATTTTCTTCATGGGTCAGTTCAAGACCTTTGGATATTCTGAATCAATCAACCAAAGATATTTTAGAATTTCTACAATCTGGCCTGGAAAAAAGGATTGAGTTATAATACCTTGAAAGTCCATATTTCACCCCCTCTGCTTTAACTGATCATAAATGGGCATTGGACTCAGACATTGCAAGATTTATGACGGCGGTCATATTCAATCTATTACTCCACCTTGGGATCTTCCTCTGGTCCTTAAAGCTCTTAAAACAGATCCTTTTCAATCATATTTGTCTGAGTATTCTTTCCCTCCCTTGGTTTTAGCTTGGGTATTACCCATTGTTGTGCTGCCATACTTACCGTAATTTTCTTTTCCTGGTCATAGGCCATGGCAGCACAAGGATCCCACCCAGGGATATTGCTGTTACCTAGACTGAGGTAGGAGGGGGTATTTGTACCTTTATTTTAATTGGTTCCTGTCTAATTAGGGATAGGGGAGGAGCTACCCATTGTTGTGCTGCCATGGCCTATGACCAGGAAAAGAAAATTACGGTAAGTATGAGTACATTTTTCTCTATATCCACTGCTCAAAAAAACACAACCTTGTTCTGAATGAATTAAATGTTCTTCTGAAATACTTTGTTCTTTACATAGTTGAATGTGCTGACTACAAAATCACACAAAAATAAAAAAAATGGAAATCAAATTTTTCAACCCATGGAGGTCTGGATTTAGAGTCACACTCAAAATTAAAGTGGAAAAACACACTACAGGCTGATCCAACTTTGATGTAATGTCCTTAAAACAAGTCAAAATGAGGCGCGTGTGTGTGTGTGTCTGTGTGTCTGTCTCTCTCTCTTCCACGTGACTGTATGATCTACCTACAACGCCTGTGCATGCTCCTGATGAGGTGGCGGATGGTCTGAGGGATCTCCTCCCAAATCTGGACTAAAGCCAACTCCTGGACAGTGTGTGGTGCATGACGTTGGTGGATGGAGCGAGACATGATGTGCTCAATTGGATTCAGGACTGGGGAACGGGCGGGCCAGTCCATAGCATCAATGCCTTCGTCTTGTAGGAACTGCTGAAACACTCCAGTCACATGAGGTCTAGCATTGTCTTGCATTAGGAGGAACCCAGGGCCAACTGCACCAGCATGTAGTCTCACAAGGGGTCTGAGGATCTCATCTCGGTACCTAATGGCAGTCAGGCTACCTCTGGCGAGGACATGGAGGGCTGATGCGGCCCCCCAAAGAAATGCCACCCCACACCATTACTGACCCACTGCCAAACCGGTCATGCTGGAGGATGTTGCAGGCAGCAGAACGTTCTCCACGGCGTCTCCATACTCTCTCATGTCTGTCACATGTGCTCAGTGTGAACCTGCTTTGGTCTGTGAAGAGCACAGGGCGCCAGTGGCGAACTTTGCCAATCTTGGTGTTCTCTGGCAAATGCCAAACGTCCTGCACGGTGTTGGGCTGTAAGCACAACCCCCACATGTGGACGTCTGGCCCACATACCACCCTCATGGAGTCTGTTTCTGACCGTTTGAGCAGACACATGCACACTTGTGGCCTGCTGAAGGTCATTTTGCAGGGCTCTGGCAGTGCTCCTCCTGTTCCTCCTTGCACAAAGGTGGAGGTAGCGGTCCTGCTGCTGGGTTGTTGCCCTCCTACGGCCTCCTCCACGTCTCCTGATATACGGGCCTGTCTCCTGGTAGCTCCTCCATGCTCTAGACACTACGCTGACAGACACAGCAAACCTTCTTGCCACAGCTCGCATTGATGTGCCATCCTGGATGAGCTGCACTACCTGAGCCACTTATGTGGGTTGTAGACTCAGTCTCATGCTACCACTAGAGTGAAAGCACCGCCAGCATTCAAAAGTGACCAAAACATCAGCCAGGAAACATAGGAACTGAGAAGTTGTATGTGGTCACCACCTACAGAACCACTCCTTTATTGGGGGTGTCTTGCTAATGCCTATAATTTCCACCTGTTGTCTATCCCATTTGCACAACAGCATGTGAAATTGATTGTCACTCAGTGTTGCTTCTTAAGTGGACAGTTTGATTTCACAGAAGTGTGATTGACTTGGAGTTACATTGTGTTGTTTAACCCTTTAATGACTGGACTGTTTTTGCAATGTTTTACATTTGCGACCAGGCATCTTTTTATACTTTTGTGGTGTTTGTGTTTAGCTGTAATTTTCCGCTCTCTCATTTACTGTTCCCATACAAATTATATATTGTTTTTTTCAGGACAAAAGGGGCTTTCTTTACATACCATTATTTATATAATCTCATGTAAATTAATTTTAAAAAATATGAAAAAATATGATGAAAAATTGAAAAAAATACATGTTTTTTGACTTTTACGTGAAAAATCTCTCATCTACAAAAGCGAATGAAAAAAAACTGCTAAATAGATTCAAAATTGTGTCCTGAGTTTAAAAATACCCAGTGTTTACATGCGTCTTTGCTAATTTTTTTTGGGATGTTATAGGGCTATAAGTAGAAGTAGGATATTGCGGTTTCAAAACATACATTTTTAAAATGTATCAATAGTGGCATTGTAACACTATTATCTGTCATAAATCTCTGAATAACACCCCACATGTACAGATTTTTTTTTTTAAAGTAGACAACCCAGGGTATTCAATATGGGGTATGTCCAGACTTTTTTAGTAACCACTTAGTCGCAAACACTGGCCAAAGTTACCGTTCATATTTGTTTGTCTGTGAAAAAAGTAAAAAACTAAATTGAAAGCTAATTTTGGCCAGTGTTTGTGACTAAGTGGTTACTAAAAAAAGACTGGACATACCCCATTTGCAGTACCTTGGGTTGTCTTCTTTTGCAAATGGTATGCCATCATGGGGGTAATTCTCATTCCTGGGCTACCATACACTCTCAAAGGCAACGTAACCAACCTGGCCATTTTCAATGTAAAAATATTTGACCCATATATTTGAGCCTGTAACTTTCAAAACGCTATAAAACCTGTATATGGGTCTGTTATACCCAGGAGACTTTGCTGAACACTAATATTAGTGTTTCAAAACTGGAAAACGTCTCACAACAATTATATCATCAGTAAAAGTGCTGTTTGTGTGTGAAAAACGCAAAAAAAAAAGTCACTTTCACTGACAATATCTTTGCTGTGATATGTTTTACTGTTTTGAATCACTAATATGTGTTCAGCGAAGTCTCCCGAGTAAAACAGTAGAACGTTACAGGGTAAAATACAGTGCTAGCAAATTAAATTCTCTGGACTTTCGGCCTGCGTTGGCAGGCAGGTCCCTCAAATTGCAATCAATAAAATTACTTACTTATGTGAAAATATTACATAAATACGCACGTAGAATTTAAAAATATATGCATATTTATATATTTGAAGTCTACGTGTATATTTATATAATTATTTATGTAATTTTGTATATGGACATATGTATATTTCGTATTATTTTTATTTATATATACATAGAATGAAATTGTGTATATATATATCTAAGTGTATTTTGATATATATATATATATATATATATATATTTATATCAAAATACAGTTAGAATAAAATTTCATATAGATTTTTTTTAAATTTATTATTATTTTGACTTTTATTTAAATTACTTATTTGTATGTTATAATATATATACAATTACAATTATAAAATTATAATTTAATTACAATACTAAGTGTGTAATTAAATAAGTGTATTTTTATATTAATATATGTACATATTAATATAAAAATACACTTAGTATGACATTATATGATATATAGACATGATGTAGATATATGTCTATATATATATATATATATATATATATATATATATATATATATATATATACACACACACATATATAATAATTTTTTTAAATTAACATTAACTTTATTATTTTTTTTTTATGATTTTACAGTTGCAGGGAGACTGCCAGTCAGCACAGACAGTCCCCCTGCAGGCAGACACATGGACACCTATTGTGACCATGTGATCACTCTATTGAGCGATCACATGGCCACAGGGGTCCTAATCCGGTGTGGGGAGACTGTCTGGGCTGCAGACAGTCTCCCCACACCGGGAGCAACACCAATCGCCGCCGGGGGAGCGACAGCGATCGGGTAAGTAACTAAGACCGTTAGGACGGTTCAGGACCGTCAGCGGTCGGCAATGTAAAAATGCAGATGACGGCCCTGAACCGTCCTCGGTCCTTAAGGGGTTAAGTGTTCCCCTTATTTTTTTGAGCGCTATATATCTCTTGCTTCCTAAGTGGACAGTTTGATTTCACAGAAGTGTGATTGACTTGGAGTTACATTGTGTTGTCTAAGTGTTCCCTTTATTTCTTTTTTGGTGTGTGTATGTATGTATGTATGTATGTATGTATATATATATATATATATATATATATATATATATATACACTAAATGCATTTTTAGCCTGTGTTGGGAGACTGTGTTTAACAGCCTCCCCACATACTGTCATTCTTTCTCACTCACCACCCCTGGTCTGCTGGTGGACTCCCTGTTGTTCAGTGGGTCCCTTGTGGCCCGGTGGGCTGCTGGTGGACTCTCTGGCGCTCTGCGATGATGTCAGAATGCAGGCTGGAACCCGGCGCGTTTGCTCTGACACTCAGTGCGTGGGAACCGCGAGGCAGGGCGGCTGCTCTAACAACACACTGGACCACCAGGGAGTCCATATCTAAGAGCAGGCAGGGTCCGGGGTGGCAAAATGCTGCCCTTGTAAAAGTGCTGCCTGAAGCCATTGCTCCAGTCCGTCCTATGGACGGGTCAGCCCTGTATATATCACATCCTGTTAGGCTTGAAAATCACAATCACAACAGGGTCTGGAAACCATTACGCTGCCATGGTCTTATTCGCAATCAAATACATTTCTGCTTTCCCTTATCTCTGTGTTATCAGCTGCTGGGAATACTCAATGAAAACCATTCAAAGGTTTAATGCATCGTACGTTGTATATATAAAACACAGTTTGTCTAGGGGTGTGTACATCAAGGGAAACAGTAAACAATCATAGCAGTCTCCGAGCCAAAAGTATAATTTTTCATATAACATTAAGTATTGCTGTTAGTTAGTCTCCTGTTAACTGATGCACATGACAGTCTTTGATTTAGGAACCCAATTAAAAATTGCAGGTGTTAAAAAGAATGCCATTTTTTTTTCAAGTGCAGGATGTTTAAAAATTTTTAAAAAAAAGATAGCGAAAGCTGGTGTCAGGCGCACGAACACAAGAACAGAAAAATATTGCATGTTTAAAAATGTGAGTTTAACCCTTTCAGAGGATGGGTATCTCGTGTTGTAATCAGGCCTACTGACCATTTGGTCTTTCAAACTATGTATACAGTAATACTTTAGCTACGTAATAAGAAATACTGAAGTAGACAGCAGGACATGAGACTGACACCCTGTAACATATAATATGTGAAATATTTGGGGCGGCAAAATGTGGCTTCGCCTGTGTAGACAGAAGTCCTTGCACCGGCCCTGCTTTTGACAACTCGAACCTTCAGCTCCCTCCACAGATTTTCTATGGGATTAAGATCTGGAGACTGGCTAGACCACACCAGGACCTTAATGTGCTTCTTCTTGAGCCACTCCTTTGTTGCCTTGGCTGTGTGTTTTGGATCATTGACATGCTGGATTACCCATCCACGACCCATTTTAAATGCCCTGGCTGAGGGAAGGAGGTTCTCACCCAAGATTTGACAGTGCATGGCTCCGTCCATTGTCCCTTTGATGTGCTGCAGTTGTCCTGTCCCCTTAGCAGAAAAACACCCCCAAAGCATAATGTTTCCACTTCCATGTTTGACGATGAGGATGGTGTTGTTGGGGGTCATAGGCAGCATTCCTCCTCCTCCACACATGGCGAGTTGAGTTGATGCCAAAGAGCTTGATTTTGGGGTCATCTGACCACAACACTTTCACCCAATTTTCCTCTGAATTTTTTATTGGTGGCTATGGTCCCAGCTGCCTTGAGATCATTAACAAGATCCTCTCGTGTAGTTCTGGGCTGGTTCCTCACCCTTCTCATGATCATTGAGGTGAGATCTTGCATGGAGCTCCAGACCGAGGGAGCCTGAGAGCTATTTTGTGTTTCTTCCATTTGTGAATTAGCACACCAACTGTTGTCACCTTCTCACCAACCTGCTTGGCGATGGTCTTGTAGCCCATTCCAACCTTGTCCCTGACATTCTTGGACAGCTCTTTGCTCTTGGCCAGGGTGGAGAGTTTGGAATCTGATTGATTGATTGCTTCTGTGGACAGGTGTCTTCTATACAGGTAACGAGCTGAGATTAGGAGCACTCCCTTTAAGAAATCTTGCTGATTTATATGGGATCAAATACTTATTTCACTCATTGACATGCATTTTTACAATACACCTACCATTAAAATTATAGACGGATCATTTCTTTGTCAGTGGACAAACGTTTAAAATCGGCAGGGGGTCAAATACTCCCCCCTCAATGTATGCTCACACAGATAGCACATATACACACAAATATTATACATACAGAGATGCACATGGTTCGCTGGTAAACTTTGAGGAAGTGCATTGTACTCACTTTCTCCCAATGGACCCGGTCTCGCTTTTTCAGGGCCGTGACGACTGACCAGGCTCCTGATGAAAGATGGCCATTTGGTGACCCTAAGTGCATGGCCACCTGATGGGCCCCTTGAGCTTGCGGGAGGTCTTTCTGCCAGATTGCCAACGTCGCGAGGCCCCCCCTGATTTTTTTGGGCCCAGGGCAGCCGAAATGTCTGCCCCTTGGTAGTTACGCCAACAGTGAGTGTAGAGGAACTGCAATATTCACATCAATATCCCCGCTGGTAGACTTGTACAATATCCAAGAGAAGCATAGCTTGGCAATCCTATCCAAATTCCCCAATAACCGGACGATACACAGCTTTTGGAGTCAACTGTTTTTTATTGAGACACAGCTGGCTTTTATACAATTCCCAATGCAAGGGGTTTCTTTAATTACATTCCTGGGGTTTTCCCTTGGTGGGGATAGGGAACAGATTTCCCAGACTCCTTTTCTGTATTTGGAAGATAATTGATTAGGACAATTATTTAATTAGATTAGCCCCCAAGTACAGAGAATTAAACAATATTTCATACCATCATAGCTCATATAATATTAGTCAGAACTTCACCGAATAGCAGGGATCTGAGTGCCCACTCTGTTGAAATACCACTCAGATCCATTCGATAGAATAGGAACACCATTCGATTGTGGTTGTATGCTTTGACCTGTCTTTTTTCGGGAGTTTTTACCATTAAACTAACTAATGCAACTGTTCGTGTAATAGGTGGTCGTGGGTCTTGCGTTCATTCGTTTCATTCAATCGAATGCCGCTCTGTCTAGGTGAAGGGGAACGAACATACGAAAAGGAGTGTCCAATTATGGCTCCATGCGCTCGACGACCAATCACTGCTGTATGTTCGTGAGCAGTGATGGCCGCCACCACGTGTTCAGTCATATGAACGGTGGCCACCCATCCGACTATTTAGAATCTTGCGGTTTCCGGGTGTGAATATAGTCAATTGGAGGCACGCGACTCCCCTGGGTGGTCTCACAGTTGGGAGGTTGGTTCGATTAACGAACAATATGTCTGTATTCTGTTCAGGATCCCCAAATAGTCGAGCCAACTCAGTCCTGCATACAATAAGTGGCTAGTTTTGCCACAGTGAGAAAAAGTTCTCAGCATTAGCTAAACCATAACAGAGGAGCTGGGCTCTAGGTGTCATGAAATACATATTTTTTTGTCAGACTGCTTAATAAAAAAAGGGATGAGAAACCACGCAGAAACTGGTTACTCCATTACAATAAGCTGAAGTAGTTGTGGTTGTTAGAAGGCTTCATTTAAAGGTATTTATGGAGACTAAAGTAGAATGGTCACTAGTGAGATTTGTGCACAAGCCAATAACTAAGTCAAAGTTTGCTATGAATTCAACTATTTAATTATTTATTTGAAATCTCACTCGGTTTTGTAAAATTCACCGTCCTGCAGGGCACAACATGTAAAATTAATTTACCTCTCTTTGGCATGTGAAAAATTGCCAGGGTGCACATTCACTCTTACAACATCTCTCTGTAGATGCTTGATATCCAATGCACATTATTTATCCCTGTAAATACTTATTAGGACTGTGTCTCTCAGGAGCTAGTACAGCCAATATAATTGTAAGTGATTACAGGATATATGGCCTGGCATAACTATGTGTTCAAGGGAAGCCACTAAGTGGGTAATAAAATGAGACAGACCGGGCCACGGATCTGAAATGGATGACATGAAGAGTTTGATGTAAAGTGTATGGGGAGTCCATCCAGAACAGGTGTGCCAAGTGATTTGAAGGATGCTGTAACTATTAAAGTTGAGAGTTTGCATTGTGAAAATTGGTTCCTTCATTAGCACAGATTCCAGTGTGAGGGGGCAAACTAGTTTGAGACAAAAGAAGGCATATATGTGTATCTTATAACCCACCATTGTGTGTCACTTTCCCTCCCAGATGTTTGTGTGTGACGGTTCCCATCAGCCCCTTTTGCATGTCTTTCCCCATCCACAGCCCTTCTGTGTGTCTTTTTCTTCCTCCAGCATCTTTTTGTCTCCTTCTATCCTTCCCCACCCCCTCTATGTGTCTCTTTCTCCAGCCTTATTTGTGTGTCATTTTCTCTCCAACTCTAGCTGTCCTTCAACCCCTTTGTATCTTTCTCTCTACATTTATGCATCCGTCATGCCCCATATATGTGAATCTTTCCTCCCAGCCCTTTTTGTGTGTCTTTCCCCCAGCACCTTTTCTCTTTCTCCCCTATGTCTCTTTTTCCTTCCTCAGTCCCATCTGTTCATCTCTTAATCTTAAAAGAGAAGATCCTTTACAACAGTCCAACCCGCCATGCCACATTAGGTTACTGGTAGGAGGGGGATCGCTGGAAACTCTCCTCCTGCCAGTCACCTAGATTTTGCGCCCCCCGGGCCAGTGCGCCCTAAGACTATGCCGTCTTATGTTTGCCCTGGCCCTGCTAATATTCCTTTCTTAAAGGAATATACCAACATTAAAAAGCATTATTCATTTTTAATATTTGGAGTGTTACTGTCATTTCATCTATGCCAAGTGCCCTTCTGCGTAAAACAAAAAAAGCTAGTTTTACTCACATTTTTTCTAGTGGCAAGTTCTCTCTTGCCAATGCTCTGCTCAACCTCCCAGTGGAGCATCTTTGTCCAGAGACTCTCCCTTACCTGGGGTATGTTCAGAAATTGCTGCAAATGTGGTGATCAACCAGCAGAATGCTTCTTAAAGGGCAGAATTATACTAATTGTTAAAGCTGAGTGAATCAGGAAGCCATCCTAGCTGTCAGCTTAATTGCCATGGAGGTTTTTTCCAAATTACTTCAAAAAAGAGCAGATTTCTCTTGAAACTGATATTGGGACAAGAGGTGCGTGCAGTAAACCCCTAATAAACTTCATCATGTTGGGGTGTCCTTTTTTTTTTTTTTTAATTCTTTATTTTACGGTGCATGTTTACATTTCTTGCATTTCTGTGACATAAGTGGTATCAAATACAGGAGTGAAGAGACAGTTTTACATATCACATAAGTCTGCACACAATTTTCCTTTTTTATCAGGTTACTGTACATTTGTGGTCTCTAACGTTAACATTAACATGCGCACCCATGCTGTGAGTCTAATCCTGTGTTTGGTCTTTCTAGGTATCCAGACATGTTCCTAGTTGAGCTAAGGTGTTTTGTTTTTTATTGTTATTACAGGCAGGTTAGTTGTAGCCATTGTGTGTGCTGAGTAGCACTGGGTCGCAGTGTGAGGTGTGGGGTGTCCTTTTCATTCACTAGACGATCAGTTATTAATTTCTAAGAGGAAAAAACTCACAGGCACTCCAACTTTAAGCCGCAGGCAGATTTATTATGACAGAATGCAACGCAATGTTTCGACCGGAAAGGTCTTTTTCAAGCTTGAAAAAGACCTTTCCGGTCGAAACGTTGCGTTGCATTCTGTCATAATAAATCTGCCTGCGGCTTGAAGTTGGAGTGCCTGTGAGTTTTTTCCTCTTGGATTATTGTACTGGGATTGCTGGTCCTGCTCTGGAGCACCCTTGGCCGTTGGGACTGGGTGCGGTTCTCATCACTTACTCTGCTCAGTTATTAATTTCTGTCTCGGAATGCACCTTCGAAAAAGGAAAATTTGCTTCATACATACCGTAATTTTTTTTTCCTGATAATTATTCGTGGCAGCATTTACTCATGGGTTAGCTCCTCCCCTTACAGCAGAAAGGACAGGAAATAGAACTTTGAAACTGGTATAAATAGATCCTCCCCCTACCCATCAGGCAGTCTTTGTAACTAGCTTCACAACTCCTATAGTATATGGGTGGGAACGTAATGCTGCCATGAATAATGATCAGGAAAAGAAAATTACGGTAAGTATGGAGCAAATTTTCCTTTTTCCTGACCCATTATTCATGGCAGCATTTACTCATGGGTAATACCCAAGCTGAATATATAGAGGGAGGGACAGAGTTCAAAAACAGCCAATAGTTATAAAAACATTATTGGGCTGCATAAACCTTAGAAGACTTTAAAAAAGCCAAACCAGTAATCAATAGGATATTGATATAAAATTTGTTCAGACAAGGTAATTTACCCTAGCGGCAACACGGTCTGCAACCTCCTGGCATTCAAATGTCTGAAATATCCTAAAAAGGGCCAGATAGGAATTAAGGCCATGACAGCCAAACCTAGAGAAGGAACAAGGCTAGACAAACTCTCGTAAGCAATAAGGAATCCATCTTGTGATGGATTAAAAAAATAAATGTTCTTTTCTGATATAAATTTAAAACCAATGGATGACATCATTAAATCAGAACCTTGATAAAGGCATAATTCCCCGACAGGGTCGGACTGGGGAAAAAATTCGGCCCGGGCATTTTTAATTACAGCGGCCCACTGAAAAGGGGGCGGGGCCAGATAGGGTGTGTTTTGTCATCCCCAATGACAAGCACGCCCCATCTCAAAGTGAGCATGTTGGTTCAATGCTCTACCAGGGCATGAGAAAAGGGCCCTGTATTTGATCTGCACAGCGCAAGCAAATTTAATAACATGCTTGCATTGTGTTTGCTTGAAACTTGTCTCAGGGGTTTCCATAAATGGAATACTCACTGTATTTTAATACTCACTTTGCTTAAAGGGTATCTAGAGTGTTTATAGGGGATTCTGAGTGTGTATGTCAGAAATGTAGTGTGTGTGTAAGTGGTGCAGCGTCTGTGTGTAGGGGATCTAGTGTGTGTTTGAAGGACTCAGGAGTGCGTATAGGAGATCTAGTGAGTGTGTGAGTGGTGCAGTGTGTTTGGGGGGTGTAGTGTGCATTTGTGAGGAGTATAGTGTGTATGTGGGAGGGTGGTGTGTGTGGGGGGTGCAGTATGTGGGTGTGAGGGCGCTGTGTGTTAGGGCACTGAGCGAGGGTTCTGTGTATTTGAGGGTGATGTGTGTTGGGGTGCTGTGTGTGTGTTGGGGTGCTGTGCTTGTTGGGGTGATGTGTGTGTGTTGGGGTGATGTGTGTGTGTTGGGGTGCTAGGGTGCGGGTGCTAGGGTGCTGGTGTTAGGGAGCTGTGTGAGTGCTAGGGTGCTGTGTGTGTGTTAGGGTGCTGGTGTTAGGGGGCTGTGTGTGTGTGTAAGGGTGCTGGTGTTAGGGTGCTGTGTGAGTGTTAGGGTGCTGTGTGTGTGTTGGGGTGCTGTGTCAATGTTAAGGTGCTGGTATTAGGGTGCTGTGTCAATGTTAGGGTGCTGGGTGAGGGTGATGTGTGTGTTTGCAAGGATTTTGTATTGGGGGGAGGCAGGTAAATGGCACTATTAATGTTTTACTAAAATAATAATAAAAAAAATAAAAATAATAATAATAATACATAATAAATACAAAATAATAAATAATAATAAATACATAATAATAATAATAATTACATAATAATAATAATAATAATTACATAATAATAATAATAACTACATAATAAATAATAAATACATTATATTTCACCCCCACTCCCCCCCATTCTTACCTGTAGCCTGGAAGGAGGGTGTGGGGGGGGTTGTGCTCCTGCCAGCCATCCCTGGTGGTCCTCTTGGTAAGTGAACTCTAGCCCTTTGGGGCTAGAGTTCACTCTCGCGAGACCCGGCCGGTTGCCATAGCAACGGTCCGGATCTCGCGAGAGAAACCCGGTGGAGCTGCAATTTAGAGCTCCGCCGGGTCCTCTCTCCTGCCGGCTGTCACCCTCCCTCTCTCCCCGCCGGCGGCCGCGTTGGAGCGCATGTGGGCCGGTGAGGGAGATCTTTGATCTCCCCACCGGCCCTCCATGGAATACAGCGGGGCCGGCGCTCGGATAGCGCGGCCCTGCATAGACCGGCAGGGGAGATCCTGGGACCTCCCCTGCCGGCCTCGGCCCCATGGCCACCGGGCATTTGCCCGGTGTGCCCGATGGCCAGTCCGGGCCTGTTCCCCGATATCATACTGGAACAAGCAGATAATATTGGATGAGAACAGTCACACCATGCTATTAAACTGAGAATCCTACTACTTTCTGGAGGTATTTTACTTACCTGTAGATACAGGAAACAAATCAATATTTGCCTGTCAGAAAGAGGCAGAGCACAATAATGACTATATATTGCAAAACCAGACTCACAACAATACCTCACACTGTGGATGAATTGATACTGCAATGATCAGTCACAGGAGAGGTATAAACCTAGGCCAAAGGCAAGAGGAATCATATACAGATTAGTTGAAGACAAAAAGAAATATCCGTATGAACCGTAGAAATTGTGGCAACTACTAAAATTATAAGTAGGTCAACCACGTCAGTACCTACATTCAAATATAAACATATTGTAAATAGTACAGATTATGCTAAACCGTATAGTCAAATTTATTAGAGACTGATGTGCAATATAATAGGAGATATGGAATAGGCAGGATACTGATGGGAAGATGGTAACCAGAGGCACATTATACATTGTGGCAACAGACACATAATAAGCAGGATAGTAGGAGATATTCTGTGATCCTTAGGAGAACAAACAACCGCATACTTACTCTGACCTTATCTTCAGATAGTGAAGAAGTACTATGGCAGAGCCTATGGTGATAATAATCAGCTTGTTTTATCTGCAGGATATCAACACCAATCCAAGCATATAATCCACAGGTATTACATCCATGCCATGTTTGGAGAGACCATAACTTATACCGCTCTAGGTACAGAGACCATGTAAAACATATCAGTCAAATGTTTGTCCTCAACAAGCTGCATTACATTATATTATGCAGGATAAATCAACCTCTTAAAGTCACACATTGGTTGCAAATTCCAGATATAAAGGACACCTAAAAGAATCCCCATGGATGTCAGAACCAAGGTCTGAATGTAACGACATGTTCAGGGATTTCCTTTATTTTCTGGTAGCAGGTGAATTTTACCTGAGATAGTAAACCTGGTAGAATGGTCTGGGGACTGGAAAGATCTTCCAATGTCAATTAAAATACTTGCAATACAGAGCATCAAAGTTACCTGGAGTATATGAGCCTAAAAGAATACCTTGTATTACAGAAAGGAATTATAATGTTGCCCTTCACAACAGGGGAATCTGTCAGAATTTTCTGATCATTAACTCCTTAAGAACCAAAAGCATGCCACCCCTGACATATACTAAACGGGATTGCCAAACTTACAGGTCCCCAATGTCCTCCAAATTATAAAGATTGCGCTTTAAGGAAATGTACTCCGTTCTAAAGAATATGTTAAACCAATTCCAGAGAATTGAGCTAAAACTGAATAAAGTATAAACCAGACCAGGAGTAGTGAGTTTTTCAGAGTAGAAAATTGCAGAAAATACAATGATACTAAAGTTGTGTGAGGGGCAAATAAGGCCGTATAGGAAAGGGGGAAATAAGTCGGTTGTGGTGTGCCGGAACCGACGTCGTGGTAGGCCTGTAATAAAAGAGGGCCCACCCATGAGGTGTAATGAAAAGTATAAATTAGAGGGAGTGGAGGGTGGGGACATGCGAAACGCAAAAATACGTACGGGACGGAGGAAGGTGAGTAGGGGGTTTAAGTAGGGAACATGCCCCTCCCACAACTGCAGGCCAAGCCTTTACATTTGTGTGAGGGGCAAATAAGGCCGTATAGGAAAGGGGGAAATAAGTCGGTTGTGGTGTGCCGGAACCGACGTCGTGGTAGGCCTGTAATAAAAGAGGGCAAAAATAGATGCCTGCCAGAAACTTAAAAAACAATCAACAAAAACCTTAATTGCCTAGCTGTATTGCAAAATGCAGAGTGAGGAGTTAGGTGCCCGGCACTTAACCGGCACTCTAAATTGGGCAAGGGGGAAGTAAGGTCTGTTATACGTGTTGGCCAACTAGGGAAAAACTAAGTGTGGGGTAGAGAGGGAAACCAATAGACTGCATGAATAGGTGAGACTTCCTGAGATAATGCTGCAAGATGACGAGGTGGATCTGGGAAATATGTGGGCCCCCAGAAAAAAGTGAAAGCAGGTATAGTGATAGTGGCTCAACTACATGGTTACTTAGCTAAAACCAAGTCCGGCCTACCTCGTATTGTGATTAAAATGGTTGATCCAAAAGAAGGCGAAAAACCCAGTTTGAAGCGCTTTCCAATTTGCAACAAGCTAGGGAAAAATTCCTTCTTGACCCCAGAACGGCAGTCGGATTTATCCTTGGATCAAGCAATTGTCGCCCTACATTTAAGATTGATGCCAGATTCGT